ATTGCACAGGAATGCAGAGAGGTCCCCAGCGTGCTCAGCAGTGGACCCAGAAGCGGACCAGAAGCACTTCCGGTCCACTTCTCGGTCCACCAGGGAGTGCGCGAGGGACACCCTCTTGCCTCTCATCTCAGTGACTGGTGCTTCCTGGGTCTGGGGGGGCACCCAGGGTCCCCCTGCAGCTGATTGCTGAGCCAGGGAGGCACAGGAGGGTCCCCTGTGCACTTGGCGGCGCACCCCGAAGTGGGCCGGAAGTACTTCTGGTCCACTTCTGGGTTCACCGTTGAGCACACGGCAGGGGGGCATGCTCCTGTGGGACACTCCATCCACCCCACCATTGCAGCTTTCACGAGCCACACCTGGTACCTCGAGGTATGTAGAAAAAAACATTTAAAGCTGTGTCTCTGGTCAAATTGCTGATTCTCTGAATCAGCATTGAATCTTCAGATTCAGCCAAATCAAATCAGGACAGTGATCCAAATCAACGAATCGAATCACTGTCCCCAATTCGGGCCAAATCCAAATCGAATATGGCCCATTTCGCATACCCCTAATGCTCACCCTGTTTTTGAAAGGCAGAATGAAAAAAAAGATCTTTCCTTGTATTTAGTGGGCGGCGGCAGCTAGGGAGCTGGGCCTGCTCATTGGTCTGCTCCCTGTGGGTTGAACGTAGACTTTATCATATTTTCTCACATACAATGTGCACTTCAATTTCCAGCTGCTGATTTTGGGGAAAAAAAAAAGGCGAGTGCTATATGTGAAAAAATATGGTATACATATTGTAGGCATATTGATTCATATAGGAGCTTAGAGGTAACTACATAAAGTTGAGTAGTTCAAGATGAGAATTGCTCACTTTAAACCCACTTGGAAGCAGTTTAGCAGGAATTACCCTTCTGATCCTGAAAACAATAAAGGACCAAGTAGGCACAGGAATACAGGGGCAGTGGGGAATGGGGGGTTAGGAGAAGAGGAGGTTGTATCTTGCATACCATGGCATTTCTTCAAAGAAATGTGTGTAGTGGGATTCATAATATCTACTAATTATTATTAATATAATAATCACTTACGAGTCATCAAGTTTAAAGCAGAAATCATTTTCTAGAATTTCAAAATGCTTAGATGGTAGAACTACTTGAATAAATTAAACGGTAGCTATTACAATGATATTCACTTACTTCTGCAAATCAACCAAGAGAAGGTTGCTGGAAATTCTGACTTTTAACACAAGTTATTTTTTAAACAAAACAAAACAAAGTTTCAATTAGACAAACCATGTATTTGAAGTATAAAATGTTCCAGCTTCCATAATTCTTTATTAAATATTTAACAAGTTGCATCATTTCATTACAACAACTTCATTTTGTCACATTGATCTTTTGCTGTCAGGAAAACAAACTACAATTCCCTTCACTTCTCTTAAGAAAATAAATGGAAAAAATGATTTTGCCCTTAAACAAAACCATCCCCCCATTGTTTATCAAATCCAACCATGTTTTAAAGCTTTTTTGATTGTGAAAATTAGTATTGTTTATACGTAGTTTTGTTTCTTCCTTTTTAAAATTAATTTCAAGGTAGTTTAGTATTGTTTCAAATAGCCTCATATTCTGAAGCAATTTTACAATAAAAAGTTACGAAACATTGCAAAATTTCATCTGGAATGTCTGAAACACTTTTTCACCTTTGGAAGTAGTCATCATTTCAGGTTTCAATTTGAATAAAGGCAAAGGTTCACAAACATAGAGCTCAGCAACATCACCTTCTAGAGGTGTCCACTGGGTTCTGGGAATCAGAATGTATCCACTATGGCGTGGTTTTGTTGAAGTTGCAGTGGAGACAAACTGCTTATAATTCTCTTTAAAGCCAAATATGAACTCAGAACGGATTAAAGAAGTATAAAAACGCAATACATATATGTTCAACTGTATGTGGGTACATACTGTGTATATATGTATATATAGTGGTAAAAAAAAGGAACCAAGGCTACACTGAAGCTAACCTGAAGAAGGAAAACATGATGTCATAAATGAAAGATCAAAGTAGAAAGACCAGGATGACCTAGAAATACATAGCCATGATTATTCATGGTTTGTGCTTATAAAAAATGTGATAGCAATAAAGGTCGTGCAGTTTGACAGACCTGAGGGATATAGAACATTAATATGGTTAAATTCCAGTTGTATCAAAAGTTTCCTCAGTGCATTGCAAACATGCATCACTTTAGTGCAACATCTTTGAATAGATGTCTGATGTGAGAGTAGGGTTTTTTTTTTTTATTTTGAAATTCTATACAAAAGAAAAGCTTTTTGCTATGAAACCAAACAAATGGATGCTTACAAGATGTCTAATCTGGTACTGATTTTAAGATTTTAAAAATCATTTTCCATATTGAATATTCATCTCTATTTCTATGAACATGCTGTACTTATTTATATACATTAAAAATATGGTTCAAATGACTTACTTTTTCCTCCCAGTTTTAAACACAAAGGGTAACATTCTGGCCCCATTCAAGCTGATCAGAGCTTTCCTGTGGACTTTAAAGACGCCAGAGTTGCACCCATGTCTGAACAGGTTTAGTAACTCAAAACTGAGATTCGTGTTTGATGCAGAACTCTGCAGCCATAATCACCAGTCTGGAAAGACCAAACACATCACAGTAGCAGTGCATTTCTTTTGGGTGAACTGAGATTAGGCGTGGCACCAACTGTGTGGTTAGTCTGCATAGCAGCACCCTCTACTGATGTATTGGAAAACACTGCATGACAGCACATAGCGAGCCCACTCACATAAAAAAACGATTCAGAGGCAGGGATGTCAGTAGGATGAGAGACTTTAAAAATAAGCTCTGGTAATATAATGGATTAGCTGCTTTGTTAGCTTTAGAATAGAAGGAAGATAAGAGGAAGAAAAGATGTCCAGTCATGAGTTTCCATTGGCTAGGAATGCAAGATGGAATTATTGTGTTTTGCTCTATATAAATTAGCACTCTTACTAGAAAACCAGAGATCTAAAAGACTTGATGTGAACCAGAAATGACAATAACAGAAGTCCCATCTTGTCCTGCAACTTGCTAAAAGTCTATAAACTACTTGCCTTAATGTTTGTGCACAAATGGACAAATCATTTGGGGGCAAGATCTTTTATGGCCACTGCCTTCTTGACTCCAAATTATAATTTGGATGGATATATCGTTTAGAATACAAACTGTATTGCAGTACTGGCTTTGTGATTAAGGGGGTGAGCTACCCATACATACTTGGTCAAGGCAAATTAAATCTGAATACAGAAATTAAAAATTAAAGAAAGGCACAGTGTTAGGGCATAGGTTCCAATGGACCAATTTCCTCATTAACTAAGGTTTAATAATGAGACAATTAGCCACTTTTCAAGAGAACGTTCTTGAAATCTGGCAGTAAGAGTTCCAAACAGATTGCTAATAGGCTGCACCATGTTAGAACAGGAACTCCAAAAAACCTTATCGTGCATCATATTAGCCAACACTAAATCGTCAAATACACAGCTCTGCTACAGTAATCTGTAGTATAGAATCAAGTTCCTTTAAAAGGGTTGCTGAAGCATAATATTGTATGCCCGTACCCACACAGGTTATTGCATAACTGAAGATACTTCCCTGGGTTAGAGAGCATACTGTACAAGTCATATTAGCCTTTTCTGTTGTCACAAGGGGTTTGTCTATCCTGGAGATTTTAGCCACTGAACACGCAGACAGAAGTGACAATTTTTGCTATATCTTGTCCCTGAAAACACTCTGTGACCAAACGGAAGTGCACGGCTGTAAAATGCTTTAAAGGGGCCCCATCCCATGAAAATCTGAAACCTCATTTCATGAGGGTTCAGATGAAGACACTCCAAAACAGAGTGGCTTCAGTAACTTGTGTCTGTGCGCAAGGCTGGGCTGACAGCAGCTCAGCCCTGCTCCAGCACAGTCTTCAGAATGGGAGTGAGGAAAGAGAGCAGAGGGAGTTCGGTCTGGTTTTACAACATGTCATTTTGTCATAGGCAACAAAATGACATGTTGGTTTTTTAGCTGGTGATGGAGGGTGGGGTGGGTAGATTGGAGCCTCCAGAATGAGCTCTCTGCTTCCTTCCCCCCTCCCATTCTGAAGACAGTGCCAGGGCTGGGAGGGGTGTTTCTAGGGGAGAGCAGCTGCAGCCTTGCAGCTGCTCTAAACAACAGCTCGATTCCCCACTTCCAGGACTCAACAGCAAACTTCTGTTTGGTCCAGTGGATCATTGAAACTCATGGCATTTCCTATGAAGCGCCATGAGTTACAATGGGGAGCTACTCTTGTCTGTGCCTTGATGCAACTACCTTAAGAATAGCAATTTGTTTGCAATGGTGCCTAGAAATCTGCATCAGTGCAGTTACATCAATATAGCTATGTTGGTGGCTAAACTCGTTATAGATAAGGCCAAGGACTGTTATTCAAATGTGCCACTTAGTAACAGCCTGTTAGCACTAGCCAATGAGAAAGAACGTTTATGGCAACATAAAAAGCTTTGTGCAACAAAGAGATCAGACTGGACAATTCACTTTTCCCATTAAACAATCCACCACCACAGTAGGCAAAATGACTTGCTGATCCAATAATAACGGATAGGTCCCTTTCTGTGCTGTGAGGTTTGAATTCAAGGGACTCTGGGGTTATGTTGACACAAGACAGCCTGGGATTGCATGGCACTCCCTTAACTGGGTTGGGGTGTAGAAGGAGGAGAGCTGTGTTAGTGCAGTGTTCTTTTTCCACTAACAGTGCTTCCAATAGTAGAGTTAGCCCTAAATTAGCTAGGGACATGATCTGCCCAGGCTGCACTTGGGAAGTGTCTTTCTAGCACAACTGAATTACTGTACGTTTAGCTAGCTCGAGTGCAATGCAGCAGAGCTCCATGCACTTATCTGTGCTCAAATCAGAGAATACAAAACTTCTCTATACACCTTTTCTTGCACAGCAAGGTGTGGACTAGCACCTACTGCCTGGGCTTGCCAGGGACTTAGGCAGCTAGTCCCTGTTGATTCACTTCTATTGTTGACCAGACTAGCCAGATTAAATATTTCTTGGACTTGTCTTCATGTGCTGCAATCATACTTCCTGACTATCGCACATAGGAGATGGGATTGTTACATTTTGTTTGAGAATGGTTTTCCAATGCTGAATGTGCCATAAGCACATCCATGCTGATTTTTTCAATACACTGAAACTGACCTTGGTGTAAAAATACATTACTGAGGTCTACCATTTGTTGGAATTTCTGTTTTAAAGTCATGCATCTTAGCAGATCTGAAAAGACAGTAGCTTAACCTTTGTAAAAACTTGATCTTAAAATGTTATACTCTCTTGTTTGATAGTCCCCAGCTCTACAACAGCATTTGTCTAAAAGGGCTTTGATATAGGCAGGCAGTTACAGTAAAAGCTCTGTTATCTGGCATCCCCTGGGAATGGGGGATGATGGTTAATCAAATATTCTGGTTAATCAAATGTGCACCGTCTGGTGCACTCCCCGGCATCAATTTGCCGGGGGACAGGGAGGAGGCCCCGTGCAGGTTGCTTTTTCCCCGCGCAGGCTGCTTTGCCTTGGGCCGTGGGCCGAAAAAGGGGTGAAGAAAAACTCAGCTCGTGGCGGCAAAACGGGAGGTCCCCTGGAAGTGGTACTTCCGGTTTTGCTTTTGCCGCATCACTCGGATGCCGGTTAATAGTTTCCCGGCTAATAAAGTGCTGGTTAACACAGCTTTTACTGTACTATTAAATCAATTTTAGAGGCAGGAAATCAGGAACAGAAGCAAAGTCGTACTGAGCGAGTTTGGGATTATGAAATTTGGCCAAGCCTCTCTGACATTCAGTTCTTCTCAGTCTAATTGCTAGATCACATCTCCCTTTATATGCAAGTGTTGGGTCATATTTAAAAGTCCACAATGTGAGTTCAAGGCCCATTGGCTTAAGAATCTTATACAGTACTGTAGTGAAATGGAACCTCCAAACATACAGAAATGTTTCCATTTAAGACTGGCCAAAGAAAGAGAACTGACTCAGAACATTTCAGAGGTGATGCCATGTGGTAGCTAGAGATGTTTGGCACATTGAATTACATTAAGAATATCAGGATCACAACCCACTCCAAAGGTCAGAAGCAATCACAGTAGTGTGATACATCTATTTGGATCCAGTCCACTTCATTTTCATGTCTAAGTTTTCAAATCACCAGACAAAACAAAAAGGAATGTCAGAAAATAAATATAATATAGAAAGGGAATCAACCTTAATCGATGTAGCAATTAAACCACTCAGAATTTCTACATGCACCTGTTGGCTCTTCACCTATTGTCAGTGCACTAAGGTGACCTCCCATCTAGGCAAAGTTCCACCCATTAGTATTTGCTGAATGTTAATAGCTTTGATAAGTTTCCTTAAAGTAGCTTTTACAGTCAAAGGTTATACTCATTAAAGTTCCCTGCTAGCAATTACTGCCACACCCATTGCTGGTAGTGAACAGCATCTGCTATGTGAAAATGGTTCAGTTCTTGCACTCTATCACCTTGCTTGTGAGTAACGATCAAGTGGATTTTTAGAAGTGGTGAAGTACATGGCAAAAACTTACAAAGCTGAACGTAATCAAATTGCTAAATCTATACCCTCCAGTCTACCCTATCACTGCGGTAACCATTTCACTTCAGTGGATCAAATGCAAGTCTTCTCTTTCATCTTTAATCTATCACACAACAGATGCAACTCAGGCATTATAGTTTAAGCATGCAACATGTCATAGGTAACAAAATTGATTAGATAGCTGTGTATATTAAATAAATCTTTGTGATTGAGTAAAAAATAAAATCACAAAAACAATTGGTGAGAACATGTCTGCAGGCTCAGCTCTACATCTGGATTTTATACATCAGCAGCAGCCAGATTCACAATTGATAGATATTGCACCAGAAAGACATGTGCAGTGAGAAGGAATATAATCACATTAATGTTTAGGATTTAAAAAAAAAGATATGACCTCCATGTGTTACATAAAGTGCCTTTAGAGTTGGTGCAGTTAGAAACAAAACAAAACAAAACAAAAATGTTATTTCGATATCATTAGCAAATGCATACAAATAGGTTGACAAAAGAGATCTGGTTTCCACAGTTCCAAATCAAGCAGTGCCAGGTTTCATTCAAAATGCCTCCATTGCAAACAGTAAAGAGGAAAGGATAATAAAAGAATCACTGTACAAAGTTAATGATAGGGTTAAGCATCTTCTTCTATAATGATGCCAACCCTTTCCCAAAAGGCTTTATAGCACATGTAAATATTACCAAGGAATAATGAGGCGATTTCTTTACTGAACGTGAGATTTGGCATGCTATGTTATGATCCTCTCTTAACTTACAACTATTCTACTGATTCATACAAAAATGTAACATCCAATCTGTACTTATTCTTCTGGGTACAGAAAATATTAATGTGCTCAGTGAAAAGGTTTTAGATTTGCTCTGAATATATCCCATTTGTAGAAAATTTCTGACATAGGTTTCTTCTACTTTTCCAATAGGTTGGAGACAAGGCTCAAAATGCACTTTGAAAGTAAAAATGCCACTGGCATCAAGTCCGGTATGAAATTAAGATAAGAAAAATGCTCATTTTTCCAAGCATATGATATTTTTAATTGTAATGAAATAAAATCTGAAAATATGTCTAAATCAAGTAAAAAGTAAACATGAGCTGTAATACTATACCTGTAAAGTGATTAATTCCATTCATTGTCATTAGAAAGTATGTAAAATATTTATTAAGGGCTTTGCCTACAGAGGCACAACATAAATAGAACAAGTCCTGTTGAAATGTAATCAGAGTACACATCAACCAGTCGGGTAATTTGCTGTGGAAGTGTCAGAAATACTATCCACAGGTTCTAGTTCAAAACTTCTGAATTTAGGCAACTGCACTGTAGAAGAGATTTGCTCCATGAACCAACATTGTGCAACTGTTCTGTCATAGTCACTCACTGTCCGTTAGGCAAAATTCAAAAGTGCAAGCAGAACTTGCTCAATGGAAAAAGAAAAAAAAGTAGCTGTTTTAATCCACTCCTTCAAATCCTTGAGCATTTTCCACTGCCATAAGAAGTTTCTCTCGTAAATCTTCAAAAGATTCATAAGGAGGTAAGTCAAGGCGATTAAAGCTGAAAATGAAGTAGAAAAAGTATCACTAAAAAAATCAATTTAAAACTGACAAATAACTGCATATGGTTCAATAACTTATTATGATTAATCATTATAGTATTCTTATTAGCCATGATAACAATAAGTAACAAAAACAGTAACGATCGCAACAATAATAATAATACTAATAATATGGAGGCTACCTTCGCCTGTGAAACCTATTGTCCTTTTGAAAATAGGTCTCTGGTGCCCTTTTACACTCAACTTCTTTCTGTCCCTACACTGCTAATAGTAGCTGAACCCAAACCTTGGTTGTGATTAAGTTCACATTCACAGGTAGCCAGTTGATTTTTTCCAATTTAGACCTGAGGCTGGAAAATTGTTAAAATTGGCTTGGCTTAAAAAATGGTAATTTTTAGTTGCATGTTTTAATAGAAAAATCAGGCTTCCAAGAATGTTTCACCATTTTCAGAGCTTCAGCAGAGATGCACTGAATTTAAAGGACAGATGTTCATCCTCTGGAGATAGCTACACATGGCAGGCAGCAGGTCCACCAGAAAGCCCTTGGAGAATTTACTGGATAATGAAAACTGTTCTGTAAGGTATCTGGATATATGCATGGAAAACCAAAAAATTTAAATTGCTGCTACAGAATACTGTTAAAAAACACAGACAAAGGAGAGCCCTATCTTCTAAATGCTGTAAATTTTAAAGTATTTTTAACCAGATGTGATAAAAATCAATGACAGAAGTTGATTTTTTCATTTAAATTATGCTTTAAACAACAAAATATTTTTAAAACATCTAAGAAATGATTTCCTTAAAAAAAAAAACCCATTTAAAATGAAATCTGAATTTAACACAGGAGATGTCAGGGCCCAAACTTATTATAATCCTTCAAACATTTAAATAGTAAAAAAATATTGAATCCATAAGCAACCATCAAAAGCTCTGAGTTAAAGGCTGTGTGCTTTTTAATATGGCGAAGGAATCGGGGAGGGATAACTAACCCTTGTGCTCAAGCTTTATAAGAGGGTGACAACAGATCATGTACTGCTTTTACAACTGGTTCCAAGAATGGAGGCTGCCATGGGGGGCTGTGCTGCTGGGTACAAAAGACTAGTCAAGTCATCACAGGTGTTGGGACCAAACCCCTAGATTCCTGATTTCAGGAGACATTACCATGCATCTTATGAGTGTCATTCACTAAACTCATCTAAGCAGATTATTTCTGCTTAACAGTGTCTCCCCCTACTTGAGATCCAACTGACACTGTTTTTGTAGAAAAAGTATGTAGCAGTTTACGTATCCAGATAATTTGTTTGTTTAAAGAAGATAATAATGAGTCATTTTGTGCATGTAATTATATTATACAGTGGAGTCGCATCTTACGCAGGGGTTAGGTTCTAAAGTCAGCGCGTTAGGCGAAAATTGTGTATAGTCAAATTACCCTTGATAATCCCTTAAATTGCCCATATTGGGGGGTCATCAGGGCTTGATGTTGATCCAGGAGACGATGGGCAGGCTTGGGTGATGGAGAGCGAGTCGCAGACGAAGTGGTTGGCTCTGGTTCTGGGCCATGTTGTACGAAAAAATACATATCTTTAAACACTAGAATCACACTCAGCGTGGCGAGATGCTCACATAATGAGAGGCAGGAACTCATTGAGTGGAATAGCAGGTGGAATCGTCAGCACTATTTAAATTATTTTTCTCTTTTTTTTTTTTTTTTTGGCCGAGTGTGTATAGCTGAATTCATGCAAGTTAAATGCGCGTATGATGCGACTCCACTGTAGTCACTATTTTAATATACCTTCCTGACACAAATCATAAGTAAAGTTTATCTAGCCAATGAACAATAGAACTTTTGGCATCTTCTAATATATTCATACTATATGGCTGATACAAATCAGAAAATATCAAGTTTTATAATTGTTTCAATAAATGCATATATTGATAGTGTACCTTCTGAATCAAACCTAGTATAAAAGGCCTATTTGCAAGTCTGTATGTTTTACAGATTAATGTCAACCAATGAGAATGTGCCTTTCTTAAGAAAGTAACTGCAATACAAATGAAAGAATTGATTAAAACCAATTACTTAAAACAAGGACTTTCTATTTGTTTGTTTAAATGATCTTACGATAATTTAAAATTCACCCACAAACCCTCTAGAATTTTTATTACATTTATATTAGAGGAATTCCTAAGCGAAAAGCATTCACAGCAGCAACTAATCTTTCGGTGCTTTTGCTTCATAGCTTTTTAGTGCCCGTCACCTGTGGGTTTTGGCCATTTTTTGGCCAACTTCAGTCAAACGAGCTGTGAACTCACATTTTTAGTGAATTGTGACATGACAAGGGCATACGGAGCCTCTTGGAACCAGCTGCTTCTGTGCAAGGTGTTTTCCTGTGGCTGCGCTTTGTTCAGTATTTTTCAGAGAGCTAATTCTATACCCACTTTCCAAGGAAGAGAATAAAAATCATTCATGGAAACTGAATCCAGGCACATGGTGATGAGAGCAAAAACTGCCTGCAGAGCGGTACAGACAGGGGGAAAGAAGGAGGAGGAGAAGGAGAGATTTCTGAAGTGAATCCCAGCACAAAAAAAGAGAGATATCAACTCCCTATTTGTATTTTTGCCAATCTTTCTTTCCCATGTCAAGTATCTATTTCAATTCATTAGTTTCTCAGAACAAAAGAGGAAAGGGTGATAAATTTGTAAGACATAAAACAAGGGAAGGAATAGTAATGGACTGCCAATGTGAAGTACTTCTGTTTCTCTCCCTGTGCCCCTCAGGAGTACACTATTCCCCCTTTGTGCCATCTACCTCTCACTGCAAACAAAACCCCATGCATTACCCAGCGTTTTTTGAAGCTCACCATTTCTATCAAGTAGCAGAACTGACTTTAGAATGCCAAGGCCTGAGATTCAGATTCCTTTAAAATCAAGCAACTGTTTTAAGACACAGAAAAATATGTATAATTTCTCCTGATTTTCTTCCTCACAATATTTGACAGGAATCTTAAAGCTGTTAGGACTGCTGAGCTACAGTTTTCAGCTCTGTCACTGACTAGGCCTATATCCTATTTCTCCTTTATACACCTAAATGTCATGTATGCAAGGCCCCCTCTACAGATTTTACATTTATGCTGCGATTAACCCGTTAATCATGGCATAAATGGGGAACTGCTGTATCCAATTTAAAGGTGCCATAAAATGGGAAACAACCCATAAAATGTTCCACATATAATATAGAACATGTTTATGGCTGGTCTGTATGTCACCTTATATTGAGAGTGTGGCCAAGGCTGAAAATCAACTGATCAACCAACAATCAATTGACTGGTGCAGTCCAGCCCCAGGACTGACAATTAGTTGACTGCCAACCTCTGGTCCAAGGCTGATAATTGGAGGGGTTAAGGGGTGATGACAGTTCTCCTACTGGACATCTTAAACTTTGTACCTGGCAGTTCTAGTTTGGCTGCTGCATATGGAGGATCAGAAGCTCCCAGAGGGAAGGAGTCCACGGGTTAAAAATCCCTAGGGATGGGAGGCTCCTTGACCTCCCCCTGTAAAGCCCTGTGCCTAGCAGCCCAGCCACAGCTGACTGCATGTCCTGACAGCCCTGGAGGAAACTGACCCAGGACTGTCCAAGGTTGGGGATGACACTCAGCTAATTGTTGGCCCCCATGAGGCTGTGGCACCTGGTGCTGAGTTTGCCAGCACCTGGTGCTGAATTAATATTCTGGACTCACCTGGCACTGGCAAGTAGTAATGGTACAATTAGGATCTGATCCCCAATCCCAAAATCGTGCCTCTTGCCATACGCATGTGGCACAGAAAAAGGCACGATAGTTGGGATTGGGAATCAGATCCCACCGTGCCACTAAATGAATGCGTGCCAGAAGACCAAAGCTTGTTTAGGCCTTTATACAAGCTTTAGATTTTACTTCCATTTGTGGCAGGTATGTGTGCAACTGCCCGAAATAAAAAAGGAGGCAGTGGGGGAGCTTTTCCATTTGTTAACCAGTAGCCTGGTCATTACAGTACTTGTCCATGGAGCAGAAGACCCAGATTCTATTCTAGGTCTCGCTTATTTCTCAACAAAGTGCTCCAACCACCAAACCATGGGCTACACATTACCCAGAGCACCCCTCATCCCTCTTCTTAAAGCTGGCCAGTTGGGCAGCAAGGGAAAAGTATAAGGGACCAGGATGAGCAAACCAACGGGCATGATAGAAGGGTGTCATTGTAGAAGGTAGGGAGGGGCCCCGAGTTCCAGGCGCTTTGCTTGATCAGGATTTGGCAGGACTAATTTCTTATATATTTGATGAAATATGTTACATCTGATATAGAGAAAAAACTTCAAGCAGAAGGCATTAAAACTATTATAGAAGACAGTTCCATCTCATTAGCATGGTAGTTTAATTGCCAAGTGCTTAAGGCAATTTGCAGACTAATGGGTGCATTCAAATTAGCAAATTAACATTGCTATCTTAGGGGTAGCAATTTCTGGAAATAAAGTGTGAAATAAGGTGAAAAAGCTGTCAAGCCGAATCCCTTCTGTGTGACAAACGCATTTGAATATGGCAGCAGTAGCACAGAAGAAACCTCCCAACTTTAAAATGCTTAGAACACAGTCCAAGAGAACATAAACAGTCTGTACCATAATAAAGTGACCTGGTATCAGCATGATTTCAACCGTTTTAAGTGAATCTATATATTTGTTTCAATAAAAATGTCTGAACCTTTGGTATGCTGAAGGAGAGGGTTAAACAAAGAAAACTAAGAGAATTAATTATTATTCACTGATGTTGAGCCTTGCTGGTTCCTGGAATTTTTCAGGTTTCATACCAGAGCCATTGTAAGAGTACATAACTCTAAATGCTTAGAAATTTCTAGCAGTTAGTGCCATGATGGAAATTATCCCAATTCTATAGAAAAGTCCCTTTATAGGTTAAAGGCAAGATTTTCAAACCAAGTTCAGTTCAGTTCAGTGTCAAATTTGTTCAGTGGTGTCCATTCTTTTTTGGCCGTGCAACAATCCAGAAATGCCTTAATTCTATGTTCTCACTTACCATGTGTGAGCTCTGGGCAATTTATCAGGACTTCCCCATTGCTCTATTGTAAACAGCTGAGGACCATTTGAACCTGGACAAAAAGTAAAAACACACGAGGATAAACAGTGGATTTGTGATGGGGCTGCATAAATGCTAGAGCCAACAATTAAATGTTTGCACAAATTACAGGCTAGGTTCTCAGCTGATGCAAATTTGTGTAATTTCGTTTCACTTGAAAGCTACATTAAAGCAGCCAAGGACTGTACTCTGCATTTGTAAATACTATGCACTTGTTATTCCATACACCTGCAATGAATGTATAGCGTGCCAGAAACATGAATACAAACCACTGCTGCAAAAGTAACGTGTTTGTGCGTTTCCAACATGTGGAAGCACCACATGCACGTACCCCATACAGAAATAAAATGATGATTCCTGCCAAGGACAAGCTGCATGTATGCACTGATGTCATTGTGGGACTAGAAATCCTTCTGACGCACAGGCCTGACCTTGGTCATCTCTCTACATTTCCTGTCAGGGAGGGTTTAAAAAGTCTCCATAGGTTTTCAAGAGCTAGGGACAAAAACATTCAGTTTACTTGGGCTCAAAATCTCTTTCACAATTTCCCTGGCTCCCCTAATTTACAGGTTTCCCGACTGTCACCTGGGGCAAAATTCTGTTCCACCTCTTACGTGTTTAAGTGGACTTAGGCACCCAACTGTTATTTTATTCCTCCCTCAAGTCCCTGAAAATCTTGCTCAAGTCTCTAAAAATCAACGAATATAAAAACTGTCATCTTACCCATACGGCCAAGTCACGAAAAAGCAGGGGGTGGGGGAAAGGACCCAACTACGTTTTGTAATAACAGTTTTTCAGGGACCTGGGTAGAGTGAAACAGTATTGCATTCAGGTCCCTAAGTCCATTTGGAGGTTGGAATAGAATCTGATCTCATCACGTCCATCAATGGTCTCAATGTTTCAGAGAAAAGAGATTTTAGAGCTTAGATGCACCTATGATCAATCCATTATTAACTCACCGTAAAGTTCAGCAAATCCATTCATAGGCACTCGAGATGTCCCCGTAACAAACTGCAGTAACCGGATACGTTTCTCAGCATCCATCAGTAACACAGCCTATTAACAAATGTGTACAGTCACTATGCTTTTTTACTTCATGCCACAGGGTGGGCTGTCATCAGCTAGATTTTTTTTAACCAATTTTTATTTATATTGCAGGAACTTGACAACATACTTCAAAAAGAGAGCCGTACAGTGTTTATGACCACAGCCATGAAACCAGGCTTTCTAGTCTTAGCCCGAAGAGACTTCTCTCAGTTGCCACTGTTAAAAAGAAAACGTGTCACAGCTGTCTGCTGTGGTTTGGATGAGCTGGCATTCTTTTTGGTACAATCTGTACAAACTACTACAGCACACCAAGTGGGTGAATCGCATCAGTAATCTTCCTAATGGAAGGAGATTACAGAAAAGCAAATGACTGAGATTCCTCAAAACAGTCAGTGGCTACTATGTTCTACGATATTTGATTAGTTTCACTTAACAGACAAGATAAATTTGCTAGAGTCAGATGACAGAGATGGAACGCAAAAGGGAAAAGAAAACCAAGTGGACACTGCATTTCAATGCCAAATTATTATCCATCTTACTGTTCTGAGGTGGTAGGCTTGTATCTATCTATTATGGCTATTCTAACCCCTTGATATATAAAAAGGGCAAGAAAGCACTGACATGTTTTTGATCTGCTGCTTTTATGTAAGGCAAACATCTCTATGTCATTTTCTAGAATATCAGTCCCAACTTTTTCAGTCTTTTATGCTCCTTCCAAGAAGCTCTCATTTAATGAAGCAGACACTGCTCCCTTCCTCATGAAATAGCCCAAGAAATACAAGTTCATCTTCAAGTAAGAAAATAAGTACAAATGAAGAATGAAATTTCAGAGAGCCACAGAGAATGGCTAAAGGGCTGAACACACAAACTAAACTGAGATTGTAGGTTAGACCCCCATGCTGGTACAGGCACAGGTTAACACAGGGCAGGAAACAAGATGGATCCCTTTCTACTGTTCCTCAAAGAGGACATGCTCCTAATTTGGAGAGGGGAAGGGGAGCAAAAACCCAGTAATATTAAAAAGCCACTGGCTAGCTGAAGTATGCATCAGATGGATTTAAATTATGCGGAGAAATCTAGGGAGACAGAAGAGCTAGAAGAAACCCAGTTATGGTAGCAGAGAGTGAATCAGACTGACCTTCCCATGGCAAAATGGGCTGTAGGTTTAGAGGCATCAATTAATGGGGAGAGGAAATAGCTCCTCTTCCATGAGGTAATGAAGAAATATTACAAAAACTGAACACATATCATAGGGTTAAACAGTATGCACAAGGATACACCAGGCGTAGGATGTGGGTTGTATGTAAGAACATAAGCAAACCCAAATGAGTTTAATGGCCATCATTAACATCTATATTTCTATGAACATCTGTAACCCTATAGAAATATTACGCCACAAGTCATTCAGCTAGAGACAGGCCTGAACCTAAACCCCAAATTCAAACTTCATGGCTTGTGTTTAGATTTAATTTACTCTATCTACTAAGACACGCATCAATAGTAATTGGGAGCTTTTCATCATGGTTGTCCACGTACTAACACACGTATCAATAGTAATTGGGAGCTTTTCATCATGGCTGTCCAGCTTGAATAAATGCTGTTCAGCACCCTCATTGAGGATAAAAACCTCAGACCTGACACTACTGTATGCAGTATGATGCTGTACATTTGACTCTCAGAAATACAAGTATAATAAACAGAATGTGGTAAATGTATTACCTTCCAGAACCACTGGATTAAAGGATGGTTCGGACAGTATCCGTTCTTGTAGATCGTATGTTGTCTCCAGTCATTAACATCAACATCTCCAAGGCCACACATTAGTAACTACATATAGATGTAATTGTTAATAGAAAATAGTACAGTAAGGAAACCACCGTACCTATTCTAACCCTTCTCTCTGCTGTCTCCCTGTTTTACACTGCTAAGCAACGGAAATACAAATGCAAAGAGAAGTCATACTGTTTCCTCAGTAGAGTTCTCAAAGTATTTTCATGTCCCTGTAGTGCAGTGGACACTATAATTAATATGGTTGCTCCACAGAACACAGACTACATCTTTTATTGCATTCAACATAAAACCACACAAACTGCCAGCATAATAATGATGGCCCTGGTTCAACAAGCTATTTAAATTCAGATGCTTTAAAGGTATGCACATACTTAGGCATCTCACAGAATCAGGGAGTATATATTTTTTTCAATTCAGTGAAAAGCACTTCCCTAAATTCCAGTCATTCTTATATGAAAGAGAGATTCCTTAGACTAAATAACTAGAAAGAAAACCTTCCCACTCATTACTAATTAGTGCATCAGCACTCCCCACCCCCTCCCAGTATGTACTTCTGGACCTGGGGTGGGCAATTATATCAGCTGGCAGGCCCCTTAACGAGTTTTGATGAGCTGTCAAGGGCCGCACAAAAAATCTTTCAAAAGATATTTCAACAAATTATAGGTAAGAAACAAATCATATACTAAAAATCAAACTATAACATATAGTTTATATAACAAATCTACTATAACATATTTTAATTTTATTTCAAAAAAGATTTTTTGTCCTGATTTATGTTTGAATAGTGTATATAGAGGCAATTGCATAATAGCTCAAAATAAAGTCTTACTCATATATATTGTGTCTGGGGAGGCTGAGGGGTTGTGTCAGGGGGGTGGGTGTGCATTTGTGAGGTGCTGCCTGTGTGCTAGGTTCCAGGAGCTGGCTGGGGAGTAGGGGGGGTGATGGAGGGCAGGGAGTGTGCGCAGCAGAGGTCGTGTGGACAGTGCAGTGCAGGTGATGTCTGTACCCACCCTGCCACCTGTGGCATTTTGCATGGGACTGAGCCCTACCTGCTCCTTCCTGGGGCAACTCACACTGCCTTCCACCCACCCAGTGCAATGAGTATACAGCTCCAGGCAGCCAAGTGAGTGGAAGGCAGCCGGGAGCTGGAGCCCCACGTGCTGGGGCAGGAGCTGCCCAGCTGCAGCTTCCCCACCGCCCGGCTGGGCACATGGTGCCCAGCACACATCCCCATGGCCACCACTGCTTCCTTGTGCTACCTCCTGCCTGGAGTGGTGCAGCAGGACCAAGAGGAGGCGAAGCCGCTGGAGATGGGGAGAGCCAACCATCACCTGGGCAGCTGCTGCAGTAGTGGGAGCAGCCCTGGGCAGTTGTGGACACTGGCTGGGGGCACCAGTGGGTGTGGGCGGGTGTGCAGCACAGACTGACTTAGGTTGGAGCACGGCCCCATGCAGAGCGCTGCGGGCCAGATGCAATCAATCGGTTGGCCAGTTCCAGCCCACGGGCCGCGTTTTGCCCACCCGTTTTAGACTGTTCAGTCCAGAATGGAGACTATCTAAGAATAATGAAAAATGCTGATCTTCTGTCTCCAAAAGTCATTTGAAAATACTAACCTCCAGCTCATTTTCATCAAAAATTTTAATCAAATCAGTAGGTAGGAGTTCTGTGAATCCCTGAAAGAAAGAAAAAACAAAACTCAGTCTTTTCTTAGAGCTAGATTTAACGTTATCTAATGTTTATTTGGCCGATATCCTTTAATTTCTGAGTAATCTTCCTCAAGATTAACGTACGTTCCCATACCAGAGGATTTTTGAACCAACAGATGTATGGGGGAATAGAATTTTTCTCTTCTTCCAACAGCTTTAACTACTATGTGGATTGCATAAAAGACAAACCAGGAAATTATTCTGATGAGTAAATTATTGGGCAGGAGCAGGAACCAGTTGAAATCAATTTAGTGTTCTGTTAATTAGTGACTATTGCAATATCAAAGAAGCCAGAGCCTGAAAAAATTTGTGGCAGCAGATGGAGCTGCAATGAAATTTGAAATACTCAAGGGAGTATCAAAATGTAGGATCTGTGGATTGCTGTGTTCCAGGATCCATGATTGCAAGGAAAGTAGTGGGGCACACAAGCATTTATGGCTGGCAGCAGAAGAAGGGAAGGGCATCGAGAACCGAGAATAGTTGAGGGTCCCACAGGAGAGAGGCAGCATTAGAAATCTATCATTTAGAAGTCCGGGATTACTTAATTTCGAAGACGTTTTAAAGTTAAAGAAAATGGATACACTGGTGGGAGGAAGAAGGGGGTGTAATGCTGGAGAACAAAACTCTAAAAATGTTTTCAAGATTTCACTAACTTTTCTAAGCATTAAGTACTTTTGTGATCATGCCAAATCTCTCAATCCCAAATTTGACGCTTGAAAAATTCCACACAAAGATGAATCTGGTCCAATCAAAATCAGTATCTATTAACTAAAAATATCATTTGGAAGATAACAGCAGCTAATGAAACTTACCTCCAAAAAAGCATTCATTTGTTTCTGAACTCTGTTTACAAACCTCCATTGGATGACTAAGCTACAGTAGATAAACAAAAACACTTCCATTAGAAGATAAAACAGAACATACAGATAGTTTAACTACTCTACTGAAGCTGTAAATGAGAAGCTGGAAACACTGCAAATACTGCTATAAAAGTAGCAGAGCATATAAAAGGAAAAAAATCTTCTAATTCATGCTGCTGTTTTGAAACCTACTGAGCACATGGTATGTTTGTTAATTACTCAAATGTTCTTTGGGAGGAAGATAAGATGGTTCAAACACACTGATGAGAATAAAAAAGTAATTCCAGTGAATATTTTTTCACTTTAGAATTTGACAATAAATGTTTTGCACATATGCTTAAATTTTTTTAGATATGACCTTTCCACATCATTAAAAGGTTTTCAGTACAAGTACAGAGATGACACAAAATTAATCTTTTTGTTCCTATGGAGATTAAATTTGAAGTAGAACAAGATAAAACAGCCGGGTCTCTGATTAAAATAGCTTAGAATCTCTATGACTAACATCTTTAAAAAAAAAACAGAGACCTAAAGTTAGCCTTCTAGTTTCATATCTACCTTTATTTATTTTAGTAATCTAAATAAGCATTCTCTTTTCCAAATTACCTAACATCTAGGAGTTTCTAATGAATGGAAATACAACTACTTCTTGTATTTAAATATGGGCTCAGGAATTTAAATGTAAAGGGCTATTGCTTAAAGACTTGGCTTCTATGTTCATATATGCAGCTCCACGTTGACATTATGAAAGTTATTCCACTCATTCAGTTAAAAACAGAACTTATTAAAGATAGCTTTAGGCTGAATTTCCATTGATTAGTTTTAACCAATGAAAAAGAGAGAGGCCAGGACAAGAACTAAGCATGTCCTTCTTCCAAGTCAACTGTCCTAACCCCCAGACCAGGGGTGAGCAAAATACGGCCTGTGGGCTGGATCTGGCCCAAGTGACTGGATCTGGCCTGTGGCGGCCCTGCAACAAATCACATAAGGCTGAGCCCAACCTGCTCCTGCCAGGGCAGCGTGCACTGTGCTCCTGCTCATGCCTGCTGGCCCAGGCCCAGACTAGCATATGCAGCTTGTGGCAGGGCTGCTCCTGTGTGGCTGCAGCTAGCCAGGTGTTGCTCTGCCTCCCTTGCCTCCAGCAGGAGACACTCAGCTGAAGCTTCCCCTCCCGCCTGCCTGCCTGTGAGCAGAGCAGAATAGCACCCGACCGGCTGCAGCCACACTGGGAACAGCCCTGCCAAAAGATGTGCACTGGCTGGGGCCGGGCTGGCAGGCATAGGAGTGTGGTGCAGGCTGCCTGGGCAGGGCTTGGCCCCATGTGGAGCACCACATGCACTGCCCAGGCAATCTCTGCTTCATGCACCCCCTGGCTGGCTCCCAGGACCTAGCACCCAAGCAGCCCCCCCCTCCCCAACACCACATGTGCACACCCCTCCCCCCACACCGCAGGGTGTGCAGGGAGGGGATTGCAGCTCAGCCTGGGCCCAGGCCCCAAGCTGTCACTTCTCTGACTTGGCCCCATGATCTCAGCCTTGCCCACCCCTCCTGCTTCCAAACACTATTCCCCAACCACCCAAAGCCCCATAGCGAGTTTTGGTGAGTTGTTGTGCAGAGGAGGGGTAGGGATGCTGATCTAACCTGTGACAACTCATCAAAACAACCTATGTGGCCCTCAAGTCGCAAATAATTGCCCACCCTGGCACTAGACCATAAACACAGATGTCCTCTGGCTTTCCCTCATGCTATAGCTACAGATGTATGCACCCTTTTGCTGTCCTCCCCATTCCATGACTCTTGCATTCTGCCATGTGCTGCCCCTACACCATGTGCTGCCCCTGCACCTGGACAGGGAAGGGGCTAGCCAGGGATCAGAGTTTCCCAGATGGCTGTGTCAGATGCTGGCAGCTGGCAGCCATGTAGCCAGAGGCTGGAGCTCCCCCTGGTGGCCACAGGGGCACATGGCAGGACTGCAGGACCTGGGACTAGCTTTAGTCCCAAGTCCCATCACGTGTAGACACCTGCCAAACATCACTTAATGCACATTAAATTTAGTCGCACTTAAATGCACATGTAGACGCACACATAGTGCGTGTGTGATTATGTCAATATGTTTATTTACATACATATGAGTATGAGTGAGCGCGAGTATGAGTACGCACCAACTTGAGTATTGGTAGTGGAGGGGGGGGGAAAAATCCCTAAAATTTTTATGGGAAGTTCTGTTTTTGTTTTTTTAAGATATGCTAACTACATATTGTAAGAATACAACCATGATTTGAGAAAGTTCACAAGTAAAACCTACCCGCTCTAGGTATTTGAAAATATCTTGGATATTCACATAGAAAATATTTAAATATTTAAATGTAAGCATAACTCAACATATTTGCAGAGAGTTTTTCTATATTACTTTGCATATAGGTGATAGAAAATATGTGTTTATGAATGCTTAATTTTTGCATCTGAAAATACAGTTGTCAGGCAAAACACTGTCAAAAGGAAGAGAAAAGCAATTATTTTTGTAAATAAATTCTATATGGCAAAAGCAGTTGAGAAAATAATGAAAACGGAGAGCAATCTGGAATTTTTTGGTTCTCTCTCCCCATCACAGTCAGCCAATCATTACAAACCTGCAATGTAAAGTAAAATGCAGCAACTTCTCTTTTTACAAGTTCAATTCAAGGTTAAGCAGGCATGTAACACACAAGCACCTCATTAAATTGCTAACAGTGTGCTGAAAACGGTAATGTTATATAATATATACAGGAAAATGTTGTTTGTGTGCTCTTATTAATAACTTAATTTAGTCTTTATTATTTGCCTACTAATTGTATGTCTTAATTAGCTAGGCTGTTCATTCTTTACTCTTTTTTTCCATTGAAAATTGTATGTATAGAAATAAGATGTTATTGTTTAGATCTAGACCTGTTTCTGGTTTGGATTTTATATGAGTAACTAAACCACCCAGAATAGATAGCGACCCAAGTCTTGACTGTTTGGTCTGCCAAAATTTCAAAAAGAAAACTAGTGGTATGGAGTTCATTAGCCTTTGGTATAATTTGTAGAATGATTTAGAATATTAAAGTTCAAACGAGCAAAGAACCAGCTCTTAGAAAATTGATGTTAACAAAAAGAATTCTTCTCACTGACAATCTGTCTCCAACAGAATTTATATTACACAGTATAGTGCCTTATGCATTAAAACCCTTTTGTGGTCTGTTAGATTTTAAAAGGAATGTCATAAGTACATACGTACTCTATATATTCCCGTTTGTTCTCATTTGTTACCATGATTTCTGATCCATTAGGCTTCAAGTCCACTTGATAAGTCTATTTCAAAAGAAAAAAAAACACAAAACAGGAAATTATTTCCAGAAATATTTCACACAATATATTATCTTTAAGCAGAGTGCTAGAAGTTCACCAAAAGGTATTTTTTACGTATGAATCTATTCAACTACTTCCTTTAATGAAAAACCCCTCTCTTCCCCACTTTCCCTGGTTTTGATTGTCTATTAAAAATGGCAAATTACTTAATAATGCATCGAGATGCTTCATATTTAAAGACAACATCACTGAGGACAACTTGCTGTATGATTTAGGAGCTTGAATTATATACCATATTTCAGTAGCAAATGAGCAGATGCGGCTACATTTTGTGTTTACTATTCAAGCTAGTAAAGAATTAAATTAATGAAATTCAGTAAGAAATAGTTTATTGAGTGAAGAACACAGATTGGCTGTGTAGTGAATCCTGGATTATTCTCCCCCCACGCCCCAAGACATATCCCAAGACATTAAATGATGCTTTGGACTGTTCTACCGACATTACAATATCGGCTCGACTAGCAGGGGAAGGATTTTCCTGTGTACAGTCACCAGTAGGTTCACTGGCAGATGCGCCTGGATAGTTCTACTAATGTTAATGACCGACTCACACTGGATACTAAGTAATGTAAAGGTGGCACCACTGCCTTCATCTTTCTTGAACTGCACCAAACTCTGTGCTTCATACAAAGCTGCCAGCAATTTAATTTCTGATTTAGTAAAGAAATATTAAGTTGGTTGCAAGCACTTTTTGGGAACTGCTGACCATCCTTCTTTTCCAAAGATAAACCCAACGCAAATATTCAGAGAGCAGGTTAATAAGGTTGGAGACAGTGAAGCCTAGATTGTTCTCCTCTCTTCTCCAAGCACAAATGATCCCCTTTATCCTGAAGAGAGATGTTACTGATTTCTATGGCCCAATTTCTCCTTATTGAGACTGCTTGTGGGGGCACATTTCACATGTTTGGATCAGTGCAGGGGTTGATGATGGACATCATTCCCTCACGTGCCCTGTGGATCTCATGAGACACTGCTTTTTCCACCAAATATGTGTAGTCCCTTATTAGGGTGTTGCTAGGGGCAGAGCCTGTCCCCTATTATTAAGCAGAGTTGAAATTCACTTCTGAATTCTCCCACAAAAGAGATTTCACTCTGAAAGGCTAAATAAAAGAAACAGTCAGAACACTGTTTATGTGGGTGACAAAAAAGTACTGCAGGTTAGACCAGTGGTGCTCAACCTCTAGTGCACGGGGATCCCCAACATGGCAATTAATGCTGCCAAATTTCCAAGCCTTGTGAGGCAGGTGACAAAGCCCCATAATCAGGTCTGAGGCAGCACCTGCAGACCCAGGGCAGTGGGCCTGATCTGGTACGTGCGAGACTGCAGCTGGGATGGCAGGCCTAATTTGGCATTCATGGGACTGGGGCCGGAGCCAAGACCAGGAGCTGTAGGTCTTATTCAGCTCACTGGGACTAGGGCTACACGCTGACCCTGCTGAAGCCAAGTATGCGGGGGCCTGTCACAGAGCACTGAGATGCCCTGCTCCCAAAGAAGGGAAACTGCTAGGGCTTCCTCCCTAGTAGGGAATAAGGAGCCCAGCTGTGGGTTGCCGAGGCAACCAGGGAAGGTCAGCTGACCAGAAGGGGCAGGGCTAGCTCCCTTATAAACCCTGGGGCTGGGGTTAGAGTCAGTTTCCTGCCAGCGGCCCAAGGGGAAGGAACTCTCTAAGGGAAGAAAGGGGAGGCCGGACTACAGGAGCAGCGTTTTGACACTGCTGAGGGAAGGAGTGTTCCCCGGTAGGCCCAGTGTTGTTACAGCCAGGCGGCTTATGTTTACATTATAGCCAAGAGGCTCGAGTTTCTGTTGTGTTGTTGTTTGTAACCGGTGGTTTGGGTGAGGCTATTAGAGGTTGGAGGAGGCCTCATAGGGGACTCACAGTGGAGTGTGAGGACCCCAGCGCCAGAGAGGGCGGCATTGCAGAGAAGCCCCCGGAGTGGGGGCGGTGTTACGGAGAAGGCCCCAGAGCAGGGGGCAGCTTTACTGAGGAGCCCTAGAGAGGGGGGCAGCCTTACTGAGAAGCCCAGTGTGGGCACAGTGAGCCCCGGAGAGGGGGCAGCATTGCTGAAAGACCCCAGAAAAGGGGCAGTGGCTGAGAAGTCCCAGTGTGGACACTGAGGCCCCAGAGAGGGGGCAGCATTGTTGATCAAAGGAAGGAAGGCCCGGAGAGGACAAAGAGGGGCCAGATCGTGATAAGGCCGAGACATAACGGCTATTCCTTCGGCGAGGTGTGGACTGCGGTGTAGGGGAGGAAACGGAGCTGCGGATAGCGCCCCCTGGCAGCAGGCAGTACAAGGGCAGCCTCCTGCTAATTAACATCAATTAATTAATTAACAGCAAGGCATGGCAGGCGAGAAGGTGGGCGGCTGCCCCAGGAACAGGTGTGCGGGCCACATTTTAGCTCGGCCCAGAGTGGATATCTGTTACAGGGCCCCAAGGGCCCTGGCCCCCGTCAGGAAGAGGACAGGATGACCACCTGTCCTTAACTGGGCAGGACAGCACTGAAACAGGAACATCAAGTCCCCATCCCAGGCTGCATGACTTCAGGACAGCATTTATCCCAGATTGTCAGTATCATGCAGGGATCCGGATTTTCCATTCATTGCAGAAAAACGTGGGAAATGGTGGGTCTCCCAAGGGGCTCCAGAGAGTAGGCTGCAGGCTGTGCCATGAGCATATGTCCACATGCACACATGCATGTGGCCAGGAATACAGCTCCAGGAAGCAGTGGAGAGCAGTTTCCCCAGCTGCCTGCAAGGTAAGTCTATGGGGGGAGAGAGTGGGGAGTGGGGCAGATTGAGGCCCCCACAGTGAGGAAGGGAGTGGGGAAGGGGCTGGGCCTGGGGGCACTGCCCAGCCAGGGTGGTGCATGGGGCCCAGGGCTGGGATGGGGAGTGGGACAGAGCCACAGGTGGCTCATCCAGGGGGCAGAGGTAGCTCCCTGCTGCTGCCCACACTCCCAGGAAGTGGGGCACGGGGGGGCTGCTGTGGGGTGGGCAGGGGATCCCCTGCCACAGCAGCTCAGCTAACAGGGGGCTCCTTGGGGGAGGGCAGCATGGTGAAGAGCCCCAAGCCTGAAACAGGCACCCTGCATCTGTGTCCCCCTGCCGCCACCCCCACCCCCACCCAGCTCTGCTCAGCTTTGCTCCAGTGGTGTTGCAGGTTGGGGGGGAGGAAGAGGCATCATCTTAGGGGCCCCCCCCCAGTAAAAATAAAAGTCAGTAGTTGGCACCTATGGTGACCCCATGCTGGGTCAGACCCATGGACCTATCCTGTGCACTGGATCCAGCCCACAGACTGACCCTGCACCACTGATATAGCTTGCAACCTAGAATACTTGGGGACCACTGGGTTAGACGAAGTGGGGGACAGCTATCAGAAGTGTTAGACAAATATCTTGAGGAGTTAGAAAGAAAAACTAGAACAGAAGCCATCCTGAAACTGATATGCCAAAGAGACAAGAACATGATAGATACTGCTGTTAAAATAAATTGCTAGTTACAAAATATTTCTGCTGACAGCACAGTTCTAGAGCTGATGAAGAGGAAAAACCTTCAAAAGCCACTCATTCCCTCATTAGCAGATACTTAATCACTAGAAATGTTTAAGGATTTATAGTAAACTACAACCAATGGTCTAAGAGAAGGAAATTAATTGACAAAATTCAACAAAAACTATATGGGATGGGCACCCCACACACCATAAAATGAGTATCTTTTCACTGACAAACAGAGTAGGTGATGGAACCCAGAGAGAAGAGGCATGAAACAACATGTTCCAGAGAAGCAACTGCAGAGAAAAAATAACCGAAGTATTTCTCCACGTGCTGTAGGAAAATATTTATTGAACATTCCTGAACAACCCTTGGGAATAGGCAAAAGAGCAGCAAGCCCGCAGAGAATCCTTCACAAGCATTACTTTAAACTCAGGTCATGCTGTGATTAGGTATTTAATCATACTGCAGACATAATAAGACCTAATTAACTCATTCTAGTGCAGGATATATGTGATTGGACTGTTTTTGATCCAGAGGTGAGACAAGGAGGGGCAGGCACTGTTTGACTTCAGGTGCAACTGAACTTGGCTACCTTCTACCTTGAAGTCCTAAAGAGTGAGTTGTAGTGGAGCCCAGCCGTGGTTCAGTAAAGCTGTTGACTTCCCTATTATATCTTAGCATTTTCATTTCAAGAGTTCCCAGTAGCTAGGGAAATAATAAACTAATTGCCTATTAAAATGGATCTGAGGAAAGAGGTGATAAAATCTATCAATAATGTACAGCACTCAGAGCAGACAGACTCCCAGCTGTGCAGTACCCTGAAGGTCAAAAAATGACAACAAAGGCAAACCACAAACTAGCTACCCTCTCAAGAGCATGTGGGATAATGATATTTAGGTCACAGATACAAATAATGGCATGCAAGAAGAGGGGGGTGAGTTTTTGTTGCCTGTGCCTCTCCTTTCTTCAGAAGCTGTGCAGCATTTAAGCAATGGCAAGTAATATCTTGGTCATTAAGAGTTGTGAACGTGGCATAACCACAGGTCTTTTCTTTTCCTATTTTTAAAGAACCCGTTAGGCTCTCTGCATCTTCAAAATAGCCACTGTGTAGTTCCTTCCTACATTCCTAACAAATGAGAATCATCTGTAATAGTTACCAAAATCCTTCATTAAAGAAGAAATTAGAATAAGAATAGGCTAGTAGGCAACCTACACACAACCTCAATTCTGAAATGTTCTGTAGCTGACCTGTGCAATGACAGTGATATAGGTGTCCTCTGGGAAGGAAAAAAAAAGTATGTTAAAGGACTATTACCTCCACACAGGAGAAATAATTAACATTAAGGAGCTAACTGTAAATATGGCATTTCCGAACTTTCTAATGTTTGACTTGGCAACCGAAATGACTTCCTTTTAACATACTTGTAGGTCTTTTCTTGAAGAAAAAGGTAAAATTCCTAATTCTGTCAACTAAAGACTCAGCTACCATATATTATCAGCATCATGCAAGCAAAAGAATGGATGAATGTTGAATGTGAAAGCAGCATTTTCCTTTTTCTATATAGTCAGATAACTCTGTAGTAGCTCTGTTGGGCATCTAGTCTTGCTAATAGCAGGTCTGGTCTTAGTCCAGCTCCTGAGACGCACATCACAGAGACCAGCATTAGAGCTAGTACACCTCAGGTGAGAGGTACTGAATGGGTTTATATGAAGCCTATTATTCCCTCATTGGGTACCTTCAGATTGAGTGAAGGCACACCCACAATATAGCATTGGGAAGCCGTGTTGCCACTGAAAGCTGAAGTTTTTATTTGACAAGAGAAACAATAGAACAGAGTCGCTAGTATACCACGTTACCAAAAACAAATATGGAAAAAAGCACATCTTTGGAAAGATGATCTGAAGAAATATTGTAAATAGTATCTAAACATTTCTTCAATGGATTCATTTAGAAAACAGTTTTTCCTTTACAGAGGGTGAAGAGAAAACAACTCAACATGCTGAACACACATATTGGCTCTGCCACCTTTTATGGAATTCTTATACATGTACAATTTATGTAATCATTCACCAGTGTTTATATCCTGAGTATGGCAAAAACCATGTAGAAGTCATATTAGATTTGTTTGCATCCAGTAAAACATAACTAAGAAATTCCCAATGAGAGTGATATTGAGAAGCAAGGAAGTTAAGTTAATACACATAATAAATCAGCCTGGTCTCAAACTGTAGCCTGCTGCCTACTAGTGGTACACAAAGCATTTCCACATAATCTGCAACATGAAAAGACACATGCCCTAGACCTGCCTAGTAGTGTAGGGAGGCAGCTGGGCAGCCAGGGCACAGGGACAGCAGCCACTCTTTTTTGCCCTATTTGCCCTGCTCTAGTTATGCCATTGTGCTTGCCTCTAATTTCTAGTCTTCTCATGGTGTGTGAAGATATTTCCCTTGAATACTCAATGGGAATTTTGCTGCACAAAAAACAGAACCTGCCATTTTTTTTCAGTTAGAATTATCAAGCCAAGATCAAATTTGCTGATGACATCAGACGTAGGGGTAATAAGCATGTCTTGAGAGAGAGGTGGGATGCAGAGACAGTAATGAAACCAATCTGCAAAGTCATCTACAGTCAGAACAGATGGCTGAAGACAATAAAAAGAAATTCTCTCTGAATAAAAATAGTCTTACTACTAAAGGGACAGAAATGACACCAAAGTGACCTAGAGTCAGAGATGGCTGCAGATGGAATGAGATTCACTATGAATAATATCTTATACCTAAAGGGAGGTAAATTACACAGAAATGAAGCTCCACTCATCATGTTACTTTTCATCTTATTGCTTTAATGCTCTCCTTATGTTTTTAGAAAATGAAACAGTAGAAGTTGCAGTAGTGAGAGCAGTACTAGATGACAACTAGGTCAAAGCATTCCCAAAACTCTGTGTGTGTGTGTGCGCGCGCGCGCGCGTGTGTGTGTGTGTGTGTGTGTGTGTGTGTGTGTGTGCGTCTTGATTTAGGAAAAAGCTAAGATAGTAACTGGACTGGAAATCAAGAGGCCCGATAAAAAGAGGTAAAGCTATGCTAAAGATTTAAATACACACACACGCACACACACGTAGACAACACAACGAAGTATATTTGCAAAGAATTATAAATGTTACTAGACAAAATGCGGTATGTCTGGGTCATTTAAAAAGATGTGGCTGCCTGCACACATTTGTGAAATATCTAAACTCCATAGCTAGATTGAAATCAACAATAATAGGGGAGAAAAGTTACAAGCTGAGGCAGATCTACTAGTAAATATCATATGCATTGCATTTCCCACCCCCATGGAGAAAACTCAAAACCTGTATCTGCACACAAAGCTTCTATATGCATCACCTGGCCAAGGACCGCCTCAGGGCACCTCCATTCCAAAACCGATCTATACCCATGAAGTGTGCTTTGTTAAAGTAAGATCAGCAATCTCCAGGGGCTGACTGATAACACTGAGACAAACTATAATGGCTTGAGGCAACAGTTTTTGACCTTTTGGGCCTGCAGGCCAGATGAGTGGTGTGGGAATGGTCCATTGGGTCAGAATGTGCCCCCTGCATCAGAATCATGCTCCATGCTGCTCAGCTGGCCCCCACACACAGTGATTGAGCTCTGAGGCCCCATGCCAACCCTGGTCACCAGGATCAGGTGCAGGGCCCTGCACCACCCTTCTTCCCCTGTGTGCTGGGATCAGGCCATACTGCCCCACCCAGCCCGCACGTACTGGGATTGAACTGCACTGCCCCCATCTGGCCCTGCACACCCAATCTAGTATGCAGGGCCACACAATCTGGCCCACGGGGCTCTGCATGGTCTGGAAATTTTGCAGCAGGGGAGCGGTGCCACTGCTCCTCCACTGGAAAATTTTCGGACCTGTAGGGAGCCCCACAGTACCAGGGACTGGACCTACCCTGCAGGCCAGGGGTTGGGCATCCCTGGTTTAAGGATATGTTGCTGCACCAGAAAACTGAAGAGCAACTTCTATTGATGAGCTGTACTTTACTTAATTATTTTTCTTTAGTCTTATCTGACTGCTAAATTCATGTCAAGGTGCAACACTTGTGGTTTATAAAAGAGAATTATTGGATACAAAGTCTCTTTCTGTGGTATCTGCCTAATGAATGTGCTAACCAAGCAAAACGTCCGACTTTTAATTCCACCCTTTAATTCTCCTTTCCCCAACCACTTTTGACTTAACATTACAGAGACATTTTTATGATTCTACCAGAACCATAAAGCATAGACTTTCTCCTTTTCTTTACAACCCTGAATGTCCCAGATAGAGGCCATATTTTTCTAAGACAAGTACTGCACAACACTTCGTTCAGTAGCAGCCACCATCAGAATTTAATCAGCTGGGAGGGCTGCTGCTTTGTGATGAGAAGCACCTCTCACCACTGGTCTTCTCTAGCTCTCCTATAATCTTAGCTAGCCTAGGAAGAAAGAGAGACCACTGTTCGAACCCCGCGTATGAATAGACATTATTAATACATGAAAATGCTACTTAAATTACCTGTTGTGAAAATATTAGTGCTTAGAGGTGGCTGAGAGGGAGAAGGAGGACACCATTCTGAAATCACATTAATGATAATTTCTGATAACCCATACATACCTGTCCAAAGTTTTCCTCATCTATGCAAAACATGAGATCCAGCTCTGTTGGGTCATTTTCCAGGATCCATTTCAAGGAATTGTAATATTCACTATCCTATAGCAATAGCATAGGTTAGTTAAGCAGTTTTTGAGAATAAAAATATTATATTTATAGACTATTAGAATCTAGTTTCAAGTAAGCAATAAAAATAAACCTAAAAATCAAGTCTCTAGAAATAAGGAAAACAGACTGATATCCATAAAGTCTTCCCTTGAATTTTGGTGTAATATAGTAGAGATCAGACAATGTGCATTATTAATTTACATTATAACAATCTGGAAGACTATATTTTTTTCATATATGTGCCTTAACTTGTTCATGATTATGTTACTCACACAAAAAATACCTCAAATTAGAAAGGTATAATAGCTTGATAGTATTTCCTACTTCTAGACCAAGCTTCATATTATACATAACAAAGATCACCACCGTATTAAAGTTGATACAGTTTTATGAAGTTGTTTATAATTAAAATGATGAAACCCTAAAAAGTTCAACCACAACAAGATCCCATGTATTTTTCTGGAAGGCTCATATCATAACATTTGTCCTTGCAGAGCAAGACAAAAGGAAAAATGGAAAACCTCACCTGTAAACGTGACCACAGATTTTAAAGTTAAGAACAAGAGCCAAGAGACCAAATGCAAAGTTTTCATTTAAAATAAGATCAGAATAGGATTTATGCACGTGTCCTTAATGCAAGAACTAGCCAGCTAAAGCCGATTATGACAATGATGATGGTAGAAGCAGCAGAGGTCAAGCCAGTTAAGCACATTTTTAAAGCAATGCTTTCATTGCAATGGGCCAGTGATTGAAAAATAGCAATGACACTTGAGATCAAAAATCACTTGTGTCCAGCTCTTTTTCCACTGAACAAACTGTCAAGAAAATCAGAAGAGCTGTTGCAGAGCTAACAGCTAATCGGGAGAGTTGGTATTGCATCTAATTTCAGGAAGAGCAATAGCTTAAGACAGGGAGTGTCAACAGGGGGCGCACACACCCCCGGGGATACTTGAGAAGGCCCTAGGGGGTATGCATGGGCAGGTGGGGACAGATGCACCATCCCACATGCCACACAGGCGCCGACTGCCCGGCTAGACATGGGGGAAGCTTGCACGCGGCAGCTGCTGCCACTCCGTGTTTGGCCACATGCCCCCCAGGCTCCACATCCAGCCGCCAGGGGTACACTGATCCAAAAAGGCTGAAAACCCGTAGGTTAGGATGATTTTTCGTCATCCCAAGATAGATCTCAGAATAGATCTGTAAGATGCAGAAAGATACTGAACAGTGGTTATGATGGGAGAATTAGAAAGAACCCAAAGAATTAGAAGGAGACAGGAATAGTATCAGCACACTGCCTTAATTGAGACCACAACTTCATGGACATTACATAGCTAGTTATTAGTTATATTTAATATTAAGAATTTTTCAACCTTGATACATGTTATGTCTACACTGGGGACGAAAAGTGATATTACATCTCAAAGGCTCCTTTACTTTGCAATGTGAACTCCTGTTCTATGAATAAATGCTAGCCAAATTAGCATCAGGCAGTATCAGTGAGCCTATAACTATTGAGAAAAAAAAATCTCTCTTTTCCCTTAGAAGGGCAGAGTACTAAAGAGCCTGACAGCACTTCATGGATGGGTGAGGAAGTGGGGGGACTGAAAAATGCACGAAGCAAGAATCAGAGGCAGAAATAAAAACATAACTTATATTATAGGCACCGAGTCTGTCAAGGAGAAAATTATCCAGCAGGTGACTACCTTTTCATCCTCCACAACTATGACTGACTTTTCTACTTTCTTCAGAAAGACTAGGCTAATTTAGCAAACCAAAACTTATCCTCCCCTCTAATACCAGAGCTGCTTAGCTGCAGAACATACCACTTGTCAGTGGTTCTACTGATAGAGGGAAGAGAAGCAACATAGTAGAAAATTTAAAGTGTAATACACTATCTCATATTGTTTTCCCTTACTGACTTATTTCCCCCCCTATTTTTAAGTGTGCTACTCTAATAATCAGTCTCTTGGCAGACATAAATGACTACTCGACTTAAGAGAGACAAGTGTGGTTCCCAAATTCTCACAGCTCTAACCTTGTTTGCCATTACACAGTTTTTACTGGAAGTATTAGCTTTTATAATTTCCTCAGAGGAGAAGTTCACATCATTGACAATACTAATAACATTTAAATGTTCACTTACCACTGATTCCATGTCTTTCAGAGTTATTGGTTTCCCCAGCATCATCTTATAAAAAGGCCTGATGAAAAAGCCTAAAAAATGAATCAGAGAATGCAAGTAGAAGTAGCTAGATTTAATTTTAAATTGTACTTTTGCTTTTTTTTAAATCTTTTATTGCTATAGCAAAGCAGTCATTACACCTTCAAAAGAAATAATATGGATAGAAACACAGAAGTAAAATACCACATTGACCTCAGAGTAGTAAGTGTAAAACAGAAAACATTATAAGCAGCAATCACTGATGTGTAAAGTGTATTCCAGTAGTAATAGTAGAGACAGGGTATTTCTAGGGGATTAACAACCTGCAAAGAGACTGACACCCTGAAACTTAGGAAAGGACCATTAACTGTAGCTACTCATTACAACAATTCCTAGGAAGCATCCTGTGCCAAGGTTACTGTCTTCGTTACAAGTGATCACTACTCGCAGTTCTACACTTACTCAATGCACCCATAACCCAGAATCAGTATCTATCTATCCACTGTCATTCCTATAGAGCATTTTAAAGAAATATAAATGGCACTAGCACTGTCCACCGCACACAAAATCAACATTCCTGTATGATGCACTGCAGTACTTTTAGGATATCATTTAGGAATGTTTCCTTATGATTTTTTAAAACAATATACTCAGCCTCATGGATGAGAGATGAATGCAAAATCCACCACCACTTTTTGCATGCTGGGTCAAGGTATAGATTTTTCAGGCTTAAGCACACTGGTATTATTGCTAGGTTTGCCAATGGTAAAGACATTTCCTTCTCTTAGTACAGTTCAAGTTAACATATTTTTCTCATCTTTTCTCCAAGCACAGCGCCAAAGGCCCAGTTTTTCAGCCTATTGCAACAGCTGCTACTTAGGCCTGTGCGAAGCAGCTAGTATTTGCTTGGGATTCAGCTGATTCAAAGGACAGTGATTCGAATCACTGTCCCGAATCGATTTGGAGATTCGGCTGCTGCTGAATCTCTGAATTGCCCAGGACCATCCCCCGCCCACTCTCCAAGCCCGGCAATGGTTGCCCTGCCTGCTCCAGCTCCTGGCACTTTGAAAAAAAAAAGAAAAAAAAAAGAAGTCGAGACTCACTGGGTGCGGCCAGGCGGGGGGCAATCTCTGTTGCCTCCCACTGCCCCATGCTGCAATCTTTTCCAAAGATTCAGAGAGCTTCGAATCGATTGGGACCTTTTTATTGGTCACCTTGATTCAATCCAGATTTGGAGATTTTGCCGCTGAATCGGGCCGAATCTCCACCGATTCGAATAACCACCCAAAGCTTTGCATAGCCCTACTGCTACTGTTAATGGAGCTACAGCTAATGGGATGGAAAAGACTTGAGATTATAGAATGCAACTGATAAGGTGCCAGTTTGCTCTGAGAAGTGATTTTATAAAACCAACGCTACGAGGTTCCACAGCTACTAGGTCTCAGAGACTGCAAGAAAAATGCAGAGATTAAAAAAAAAGTCATTTTTGTGACAGTCTGTTGGGCTCCTTTTTCAAAGCATACCAGTGAATAAGAATTCTAAAAATTAAATTATTTTTTTATTGACACCTGTGCAAGTTCTTGGGTCCCATGTGATGTGCAAAGACATGTCTCATTTATATATAGTAAACAAATGTGCCAGTGATGCGTATAAAGGAAGAGAATGCAGCCCATTAGCGGTGCTAGCTCTGCAGGATTGATGGGAGTATAGCTTAGTAAAGTGACATGTGGACCTGATCTGCTGAGCAAGGCAATTTCATTTTTACATGAGCACTTTTAAAGCAGGACTGCAATTTTGGGCAGATTTAGTCTACTGTACATCACATAAAGAAAATACTACACAATATTTCAGCAATTGATTTCATTTAATAGAAATCTGGGACTAGGTTTTGTAGCTATAAAGCAAAAAAGGACACTGCAGGATGACAGTTTAAGCACTGTGACAACATTTTTTAATATTGCTTTTTTACTGCAAATAACTTACCATCTAATAACTTCCCATGATACACTGCCAGCCCAGCAACCCGGCCAATAAATGTGAAATAGGACAGATGATCTTCATTACAAAGGCCTGAATTTGGATTAATCTGAAGAGTATAGTTGTCCCTTTTTTAGGAGAGAAGAAAAAGGTTTATGCAGCTGACATCAAATTGATTAATAAGTAGCTTGAGGTTTTTTACTTTTTTTTTTGTAACCAGATACTACAATATTTTCATTTATCTATGTATTCCTTGCTAGCTATATCTTACACACTGCTGACATGAGCTAGTCAAACTATAAGACTAGTCTCTACTGATATGGTAAATGTTCCAACTTATGCAGCAACAACCTTTGTCCAAATGTAGCCAGTAGGGCTTGAGAATGCCATCTTCTAACTGTGCACCCACAAGTAGAAATGTTCATTTTAATAATTTTTACCACTACAGATTCACTGGATCTGATCAAACGTCACCAGATCAAAACACACAGGTAGATGTGCTTCCTGTTCTGAGGAGTTTACTAAGACTAAACCTCACTGGTGATGGAGTTTTCCCGAACACAAAGACTGTAGCTAATCTAATAGTAATTAATACAGATATCTATTTAAAAAATGTGTTGTGTAGGAGACAGTATTTTGTCCTGTTTGCTGTGAGGATGGTAACACAAGTTTGATCACCCAAGCAGACTCTGGAATATGGAAGGAATATTATTTTACCATGTTTGTATACCGGGAACAAAGGGAGCACAAAAACAAGCAAAAAAGAATTCTGAAAAGGTGAAGTGAGACTATAAATAATTGCTGATTCCAGTAAAATGAATGGTTATCTGGCTTCTGGAATGTAGGTCACAACTTGGGGTCCTGAACCGATGGCTGGCAGAAGTAAAATCACATCCAATTTTGCTGTCCAAAATTGGAGCTGAGACAATTTGGACTCCAATTGCTGCCAATTGGAGTCCAAATGGAGCTGAGACAGTAAAAGCCTGACTCCACTGAAGTCAAAAGGCACAACTCTCACTAATTTCAGGGAAGCCAGGTTTTAATCCACAGAACAGTTTGCATTGGTGGTGCTGTAGCAAAACCCCCAGTTTTTCTTTTTTTTTTTTAAATTTTAAAGTGTATTCCCTCCCCTTCCCCAACCATGTCTGACTTTTTCTCTCCCTCTCTATTCCCTATAGGTAAGTATAAGCGAGCCAAGACATATGATAAGTTTCAGCATTTTATTTTGGTAGCAAGTTTTATTCATTTTGTCTTTTCTCCTTTTTTATATTGTATAATTATGTTTGTATTGATTTTTACTGTTCCATATTACTGCTTTACTGATATTATATAATTTAGGCCTACATATGTAAGTTATTACGAGTCATGTCAGGTTTCCATTTTGTTTGTCAAGTCTCTATCTTGTCCCCATGCCCTGTTGTGCAATGATGTTGTAACCTATGACTCACACCTAGCCCTCCTGTGCAACTTGGCTCCTGAATGAAGGGGGATGAATGAGGGTGCTTGAGAGACAACGGCAGTAGGTCTAAAAATAGCTCTCTCTGAATGACCGAACCATCAAAACCAATACCTGGACCAACGACCCAGCCCTTGGAATCACCCTCAGCATTCAAGAAACAAAAGATGAGGCAACCCACCATTGTGCCAAGGCTGCACATGCTCAGTAAGAATACGTGGAACCCTCTGGAACAGGACTGACATTGCCTGGACATGCCCTCCCCATAGGAGATCATAGGTAGTCTGCCCCATAAATAGGGGTAGTGAAGACTGACTCTTTGGGATGCCATTTTCATCTGGACCAGCACCACGCCACACCACCTATCCACCCAGAGGCCCTGCCGGCAACTCGCTCTGGACAACACCTACTGGACAAAGACCTTTTTCCAGCCTGGATAGGTAGCTATCACCCCCACCCCCTCTTCAACTAAGGACTTGGACTCTGTTTCTCTTCCCTCCCGGGCCCCCACCCCTTCCACTGAGTCTCTCTTTCTCCTGCTGCCATTGTGAGTGAGTGAGAGAGAGAGTGTGCGCGTGTGTAGGAACCAATAACTTCATGGGGCTGTGTAGTATGTTGTCTGTTTAATAAACCTGTTATTTTGAAACCCTGAGTTGGGTTTTTGTGTTTCCTAACTGTTTCCTCCTTGCCACCACTTATCTGCCCCCAAGCTCCCAGCTGTCTGCCTCAATTTCCAATCCCAAGCTGCCAGGTTTCTCCTCTCTCTCTTTCCTGGCCGTCTCCGCCTTGCCACCGGGCTTTTTCTCCTTGCACCAGTGACCTCGGGGCCACTTGACCTTAAGTAACCCCAAGCCTCAGTGCCTCAGCCAGCTCTAGTCTACCAGTTCTAATGCCGGTTCTGGCAACTTTCACGCCTTACACTTTCTCTCTCACCTTAACCTTTTCCCAGGTATCCCAAATACCCCAAACACACACATACATACCGTACCATCCAAGTTAGGAACTCACCCGTGTGTATGTGTAGGTGGGTGGTTTGTGTGTGAACTGGTGAATATATATGTCGTTGTGTGTATGATACACGAATTAGTGATCCGTGTATGTGTACTGGGTGTGCGGGTATGACAATTGATTTTTGTCTAACTTTTGGTGTGTATAGTGTGTAGGTGCTTGAATTGGTGCTAGGTGTGCATGTGCCTAGGCTGGTAATTTTGGATGTGTATGTGCCTGAGTTGGTCGGGTGTGTGTGCATGCCTGGTGGGGGTATATGCACCTAGTGTGTATGTACGCGCGTAATAGATTTGTGTGTGCGCGCACACAATTGTACACCACGCCTTCCTGTCTAACAGCGCGAAATTGAGATCCTGAGTGTTGACATGACCCCACAGGGCAGCAGCGCTCAACCTTCGACCCCCACGGGCCAGATGAACGGCATGGAGCCAATGTGCAGGATAGATCCTGTGCACAGGCTTGGTGAGATCTGGCTTGCTGGCTTGGTCACATGCATGGTCCAATCTCACGCGCTGGATCCAGTTGCACACCAGCCTGACCTCATGCCAGCCCAACCCCACATGCCAGACCTGGCTGTGTGCCAATTCAATCCCACACACCAGCCTGACCTTGCATGACGGATCTGGCGGAGTGACCCCATGTGTCAGCACCATCCTGTGCATCAGGAGAGCCACTTCATCTGCTTCACGGGGCTCCCCATAGGTCTAGAAACTTGGCAGCAGGGAAGAGGCAATTGACACTGCCAATGCTCCCCCACTGCCGAAGTTTCAGATCTATGAGGAGACCCACCCCGGCCTAATATCACCTCACATAAAGCTGGCTCGTGGTCTGAAAGCAGAGCATCACTATTTTACACAATGATCTCCTCTCATTGATATGTGGAGTAGCATGAGTTCTGGGGAAGAGAGCCTTGCACGGTCCTTCTTCACTGAAGGCAAAGAAGCTGTGATAAACAGCTTTCAAAAGAGTAAATCAAGAGAAGAAGAAATGTAAAAGGAGACAGAAGTGAAGGAGATCCTCAGGGTTGTGGCTTTCTAATCCCACCTGAGTTATCCAGCATCTTCCTTTACATATTAAAATGTTTATTATTCAAAGGAGAGAGCTCTAATTGCATTAGGGCCTACTCCACCTATTAGTCACTTAAGTGTGATCTTACTCCAAGTTCCTGGAATCCCTAAAACACTGTTAATGTAAAAGGTGGGGTGGATCTTCCCTTTTCTTGCTATGTTTTTGTGACAGTTTTAAAGCTAAGATGCCAGTAACAGTGGATTTTCAGGGCCTTGAACAGGGTGGAAGAGGATCACACCTGGGCCATTGTCACCACTTATATACCACATAGTAATTCTAGAGTAAGAGTTTTATAACAATGACATATAGCTATAGCCAGTCTTATTGGTGCCCAGCACATGTCAGGTGCAGAGCACCCCACAACATGTTACTACATAACATTACTTCCATTTGGTTTGGCACCCCCATGCAAAGGCACCCGGTGCCAGTGCACCACTGGCATTGCCTTGCTACAGTACTGAATCTACAGAGGTAGTTTTCTGTTTTATTGTCTGTGGACTGAACACATCTGTCAAGATTTAAACAGTAATGTATTCTATACAGCAGAGTGTGATTGAATGAGTACACTAATAAGTAAGTGATACTCTGGATACATACATATCTACAACGTGAATTCTAGATTAATTTTGTTACCAAAATGTTTTTAAAAAAACCAAAAAACCCCACTAAAAACAGGCTTCTTAATGCATAGGTTAAAAATATGCCATCTGCAACAATTTCTTACTGCTATTTTTAATGACAATTTTCAGTCTAATGGGATTTCTTTCAATTTACGACTGATTTTCCCACCAGACTGAATCTAACATTTAACTAGTTTTATTTAAAAATTATTCATTCATGGTGGCATACATCCAAATGAATGAAAACAATCTTTTCAAAAGGCAAATATTTTTCTAGTGAAATTCAATAAGGGATAAGTATTTTGAGCTACTTAATACAATATATTTTACAACCTTGTGGTCTATAATGCAAATAAGTCCCCTTTCCCAGGCACGCACATTCAGAGAGAAACAGGAATTCCCTAGTTACATGGCCTCTTGTTCATCTAGTTTACGACCTACTTAACACTTATTGGAAAAAGAAGCAAGTCTAATATTGACACCTACACACAGAAAACATTGCCTGTGATAAACAAATCAATCTTTAGCAACCGTATTAGCAGTTAAATACATGACATAGAATTATATTAACTGGATTAAAATAAAGACATTTTGAGCACAACGAATTACATTTGCACTCATTATGAGTTGCCTTTACATTGTCAGTGCAGTGTAGACTGGCCTAAGGGTAAGTGAAGAATTAGCTCATGAGAACTAAATTATAACCCTGAAACACGATTGCTTTAAACAAGCAATACTTATGTACTGGACTAGGAGTGTCCTACACAGAGTACCTTCCCTTACACTTCTGTTGGCTCCACAAACACATAAAGAAAGGTGCCTATTAAGGCAGTGATTAATATTATTAAATAAAAAGGGTTTAAGAAGAAGATTTCAGCAGGTTCTCTGAACAGGGTATAAATATAATGTCATATTGACATTTCATAATTGGCATTTGTTAAAATACGCATGTAATATATCTGGAAGGACAATCTTATCAGGTTTTCTTTCACCCAGGTACTAATTTGTATCACTTAGAAATGGAAATATATTAAAGGACACTTACGTTGCCGAATATTCAAAAAGACCATAATAAGGATTAAACATTTCCTTGGACAACAGAAAGAACCATTCTCTGGCCACACCTCCATAATCAAGTCCTTTTTCCGCTTCAAATTCAATCCAGAGCCTGGCTTTTAATACATCGGGTCTCTTCACGGACATGATTCTTCTATAGGACTCCTCAAAAATATTATTTCTGTGGAGTTTCATCTCAAATCTGTTTGGTAGATCAGCCTACATCAAAGGAAAAATATCATTCACACTGATCTGGTCTTTATGCAAGTGGCAGCGGAAATAAAGATGGCAGTAAAAATAAGTTAAGTATTTCCAGAGCTTCCCCATTCTACGAGATGCTGGCATTTTGTCTCTCCTAGAATCCATCGTCGTTCTTTAGTTATGGCCCACCTACACCCTCATGACTGCATACCAGAAGCAGGATAAAGTAGCAAGAAAGACACAGAGGAATATATTTCTGAGCCCTATTTTAAGAAAGCTTAGTTAATAAAAGGTAACAGCTTCAGGGAACCTAGCCAATCATAACTGTGAAGACCACAGCTGCATAATGAAAACTGTTACAATGTCATGCGGAGTGTAAATTTGCATTATCAAGATTCTCACATTTGGGGAGCTCTGCTCCAATATATATTACAGCTAAGGCCAATCATTATTCCAACAAGCAGCTGAATATAGACAAGGCCAAAGAGAAATGGGGATGTAAGGAGGGGGAATAAACGGAGTACAAATAAGGTGGGATACAGACAAGTGGCAGGAGAATGCAAAAGAAAGTCAGTTTCCTGAAATAGATCTCTCTCTGCCAATCGCATTTTTTATTGCATCCAAGAACTCAATGCTATTTAGAGCCCATGAAATGCTGCATTTTAACATAGTGAAAGAAACACTGCCTCACAGGTAGGGATGCATATTTAAGGAGCTGCTGATGTACAGGAAAAGAATACCTATAGGCCCCCTGTGACATGTTTGTTTGGGGCTGTCAGAGCTCTAAGACTATTACCAAGCTAATCAATACCACAGGGAAGTTAATATCGAGCTCTTGTCTCTTTCATTTTATTAAGGCTTCTAGAGCTGGTGAAAGATGGTACTTAGGAACAAAAGACTGGAAGAGGACCTCCTGAAGTCCTCTTTATTCACTAAACATGTGCTCAACAAAACAGTGGGAACACAAGTTCTGACTGTCTTTGGAAAGACAACTGCTGAGACTGAAGGAGTAGTACAAGTCCTTGTGTCCATTTACATTTGAGCACGCCAAGAGGAAAACCAATTAATCTCAACTATGATTATATGCTTTGAGAGGCAGTATTATTTGTTACTGCTTCTTCACTTTTCAATTTACAAACAAAAACCTGACTCAAGGGCTCAGCATCAGTTTTGGGTGAGGGGAAAAAATAGATATTCCTTGATCTGTACAGGAAAACTGCAGTCTGTTTTGCTTGTTCTTGTTTAACTACTTTGTTAAGATAAGTAAAGAAAACAGGAAAAGGTATTGCAACAGCGTGCCATGGCAATTATTATCTATTCTTGGGGCAGTCAGTTATATTTTTCACCTCTACCCCAAAATAAGCATCTCAAACACAGAATGGACAATTACTCACTGGTTTCTTTAATTTCTTTCTGAAGTAGTCATATTTCTGTTTGAACTCTCTGGAATAGGGAACAGCCTGGTAGAGAGAAAATTAAAAATACAGATCATGTAATGCATCTTGCAATCTAATACCTTGCATCTTCTACAAATGTTATTTAACAATACCCACACGTTTAAACGTATGCTTTTTTCTTCAGCTGTGATTTGTTCCAAACATGTTTATTGCAGAAAGCATATGAAGTGCATGCAACACAATGTTTCCATTACACTGGAGAAACTAAGGCAGAGGTTTTCAAAGAATCAAGTATTTTTTGCCTCTATGATTTACTGTAATGACAGACCATCCTTAGTTTTAAAGAAAAGTGTGAGGGAATAATCAAAAAGGGCCAAAAAATAGGATTCACTGACAGAGACAATGTTCCATTTTAAGAAGCCATAGGCATTCTTTTATATAGCTACTATCATAGAATGGGTGTTTCAACAATTGTCTGGCAACACTGTCCTAGGATTTGTACGAACGGTAAGGCACAACCCATCACTGAAGTGCTCACAATAGAAGGGCATGATCTGAAGTCCACAGAGTCCTTCTATACGTGAATGATGCATGCCCCCCTGGTGACTGGTGGGGCATGGCGGCGGCGGGAGCACGGCAGTAGCAGCACCGCTGCAGTAAGCTGGGAGCTCCCACATACACCTCTGGGGCTGTCAGTGGGGGGAAAGAGGGGAGGGAAGAAGGTGCTGAGTGCCGACCAGGGGTCAGCGACCAGCCACAAATGCCACTGGCTGTGTCAGCAGTGGGGTGGCAAGTGACGACTGCCTACCGGTACTGCCAACAGTGTTGGCAGCACCTTTTTGTAGGAGATGCACCTCCACACTCAGGGGGTGCATGTACACCCACGTGTACCCCCTATGCATCACCCCTGCTTCTATACGCTCCATTGGCTTTTGGATCAGGCAGACAAAATCATTAGAAAACCAAAGTTTTATTCCCATTTTGCAGATGACATCTTTCAAAATGAAAGTGAGAGCACAACCTGGGGTTCAGTGAAATTGTGATAGTTGTGGTGAGCGATCTTTGGGTATGTTTACATGGCAGAATGCAACGCCTCGCAAGAGATTTACAAGTTCACACATTCAGAATGTGCTATCTTAGGTACAGGAAGCACAACCACATTCACATGGTGCTGTTCAGTATCTAATTCCTAGATGATATGAGAGCCAATAAAACTATTTACAACATTACTTAAACAAATGCCTTCATGCCAAGAATCTCAAACATTTTGCAAAATAATTTATTCCATTCATCCTTCTGGGGTAAGCAAATGATCCTGCAAAATACTAGCTCTTTTGCACCATTATGGTGCAGACACCTTTGAAGCAGAACATATTTCCTTGGTGACAGCTTAAAGCTAAATAGAAAAGGATAAAAGTGTAAAAACTAAAATAGGAGAAGAAATTTTGGTAGGTTCGAATTATAGTTAGCAGAGTGGGAATTTGGAATCTGACATGTATTGCCCTGTCCCACAGGAAGTGACCAAAGATCTCTTGTCATAATTTATTTAGCTTGACTTATAAGGGTCAAAAGGCCTCCCCTTTGGGATTCTAGGGTTTTTTTAATATGCAATTTATGATGAAACTAGGGTACAAGCTGAATTGAATGCAAAAGTCAGGGGAACTTTTCTCTACTTAGACTTTTCAGCTAATGATATGAGACCCCAAAACATGTAGTTGTCTTAGCCATAATGGTAAGGCTAAAAGATCTAATTCACCATCCTTACGATTTGCAACTACACAGTCTTCAAACACAGAAACCACGAAGAAAAAAAGCTTTGAATTAAAAATTGAATAGGTTGTAGTCATGGTAGTCACGTTTCTGTGCAGACAAGTTTCAATATCTTCCCATTCTCCCTAAGACCTATATGTTAAGGTACTTTACATAGGCTCTTAGCTTTCGGATTTCATAATACGAAAGGAAAACAAAGGATTTCCTGTCATATCATAAGCTTGCCTTTACCCTGGCTAGTCCTTCAGGCCAAAGAGGACATCTATCAAAACAGTTAATACATAAACATGGAACAGCTATAACCATCTGAAGTATGCTTTCATGGGGCAGAAAAGTCATTACATTCCAACGCGACACGCACTCTTTGAAGGCTACACTGCAAACTTCTGAAGTCTGGTTCAGGTCAACACTTGTTAGTGTGTTTATCACTGTCTGGATATGGGTTAAGGGTGGGAGTGGACAAAAAATTAAACTAACCTCAATTTCACTAAAATCACTTGTTATTGACCATATTCATTTAATGAAATTACAGTGGAACCTCACTGGCTTAAAGGTATCATCAACTCCAAATCATGACCCAAGGGCCATTACTATTCCAATCAAATTTCTTCAGCCTTCCTCTGGAAAGATCTTAAGGGGTGGAATCCTGATGATCAATAAAGCAGTGCAAAGGGAAGGGCTGAAAATAAGTTAGCTTATTAAATGTTTTGAAAATATTTGAAAGAGAATAAACCTTTCATTCATTTTCCTGAGACTGAACACTGTTCTGAAAATAATTTATCTGAAATGATCCTTCTTGAACCTAACAAGCCCTACCCTCCTGACCATACCCTCTAACCCCAACGTCCCACACCATTCCACCACTCCTCTTCCATAACAAGACACAGGTTTTTTTGTTAGCTGTAAAGCCTGTAAATGGATACTGTGATTTGTCAGCTCATGAAATTTTCTGTCAGAAATGACCACCATAGGGAACTGAAGATTTTTTTCTACTCACATTTCCAGACTCATCACAATGGGAGATTTCCACATAAATCCACATCCCTGGGGCCCAAATTCTGAGAATTCAGAGCAGACGTGGATGGCACAGGATTATTTTGCTCACATGAACATTTGAAAAGAGTCACCCTTTTCTCAGACTTCCTTTAAAAGTTCATAGAATAGAATACTTTAATGAAAGTGAGTGGCCATACCATTTGGGTTTGAATAAGATGAGCATTGGTGTATTAGGGATCTTTTCACATCAATCAGAATTTTTCTAGCGCATTAATAAAACTGCAATTTTTAGTACGAGCTATAGTATACTGTGGTGCTTTTAACTTGCCTTTTGGCTTTTAACAGACTGCTTCACCCTAAATAATTAGGTAGTTCTACACTGTACCATGAAAGTGAGTGTATGTAATTTAAATTGAATGGAGTAAAAAATAGGAAGCAAATGAATAATCTCTGAGGGCAAAGGTGCAGGTTTGCCTACTAGGGTATAAACTGAGGAGAGCGAGGGAAGGGGAGAAACACACACATAGAGAGAGACACACACACATACACACACAGCGACAGGCAGACACACATACACACAGGCAGACACAGACTGCATTTTAATATTTGAAAGATGGGAGAGGACCGAGGCAGGGAGTCCAGAAAAGGATTTCAGAGCAAGTTACTGTTGATAAATATATGTCTTTATTTATATTTTCAATGCCTTTTTCTTGATGCCGACAGCAAAGTAACTGTGCAACATTAAATTGGCTATATAGCTTCTGTCTCGTTGCTACAACAGATGGTTTCAACAGTGAAATTCTGCTTTGAAAAAGGGTGTTCTTGTCTGAGGGACCACCTTAATGCTAAGGCTAGGTACAGACATTCAAAAGGCTGAGGTGGAGTTGATCAAACCTTCGTGGGTTTCTCCAAGCTGCATAGATTGGATCAGGAGTGAACAGAACAGACGTTCGCCCTCTGGGGTGGGGGGGGAGGGCATGAAGATACCTGTAGTGGCCAAGGCCAGCACACTGGGGGCACTCTCGTATGCCTCCCTTTGCCAGAGTCAAATGCAGCTGAATGCCTGGCCACCCCTGACTGCCTGCTGGGGACACCCCCAAGCCATTGCTGTCAGCTGCAGGAGGGGGCAGCCAGCACAGAATCTCTCCTCAGCCCCAACCCCTGCTAGTAGTCAACTGCCAGTGGCAGCAGGGGTAGGGGGAGGAAACAGAGGCCTCCGCCATGCAGACCCAGCCAGAACACTTGGGGGAGGTTGGTGCATGCCAGGAGCTTCACTTCTCCCCCACTGCCTGGCCAGCATGGCTTCTCTCCTCAGCTCCACCCACCCATCAGCTGTCAGTAATGGGGAAGTGGAAGATCCCACCCTGCCCTGACCCCCGACACCAGCCTGCCACAGTTGGGGTGGGGGCAGCATGCGGTAAGGGCTTTCCTTCTCTCCTGCTGCCTACCCCAGTGTGGTTTCTCTCCCCAGCCCGACCCCTGACCAGGCAAGGGAATGGGGGAAAATAGAGGCTCCTGCCCCATCCCCGAGCCAGCACAGACTGGGGGGCTGTGCAACAGGGGCTTGCTCCCTCCCCTGCTGCCTGGCCAGCACAGCTTTTCTCCCTAGCTCCAATCCCTGCTAGCTGTCAGTGGTGAGGGAGGTGGGGCGGGAAAATGGAGACCCCTGCCACATGGACCTGGCTCCCCCAGACCCATCCAGAAGGCCACATGATGGGAGCCCCTGCTTCCCTCCCTGCTGCAGACAGCTGGCTAGCAGTGGGCTGGGCTGGGGAAAGAAGTTGTACTGGTTGGGAGGCACAGGAGGGGTCCCCCTACCTGCCCAGCTGGCAGACGCAGGCAGGAGGCAGGGCGGGGGAACAGAGCTGTGCTGGCTCAGCTCTGTGACAGCTCGGCAGCAGGGCTGGAGTAGATGAGTGAAGGCCAAGGCTAGCCTGCCCACCCTATTAGTGGGGGTTAGCAGGGACCTGCAAAGCAGCCTGGGATGCCGGGGGACTGCAACCTAACTTAAGTCAGGAGGGGATCTGTTAGAGAAGTTTGATAGACTGGTCTGACCTAAACCAATTGAATCTGATATTACATCCTTCCAGGTCTATCTTAGACTGGGTTCTGCCTTTTTTAAACTGGCATATGGACAGTGAACTTCTGTTCTGCTACAGGTTTAGACTGGTTTCTGATTGCTTATACTGGTTTGTATATAATGTCTTTACCTAGCCTAAATGTCAGGTAGAGAATAACTCCATCTCGATGGAGATGCTTTTTTTGTGCAGCTCTAGAAGAATGAAAGTAACAACAAATAAAGAAATTCCAAGGATGTCATACCTGTGACCATCCATCTATTAGCTGTACAGTTTCTGAATAGAAATAATTTTCATAAGAGAATATAATGCTCTCAGATTACATTTCTAAGAGAAAGCAAAACCAAGATTATGGGGAATGTAGGGATTTATGGGAAGATTTACTCACCACGTATTTTTCTGGGAACTAAAAAGGATGATGATATCATTTATGCTAAGATATAAAAAAAATAAAAGGCTGAAAAGACTCCAGGGGAGATAGGGAAGGTCTGAGATAAAGAATTTGCCTCAATACCTCCCCTGGAATAGTGGATGGGAAGGAAGGTGGGGAGGCATGTTCCAACACCTGCCCACAAATGCCATGCTGCTTCTTAGGATCCTTACCAGTTATGGTACTTTAAAACAGTTCCCACATCACTCTTATCTATGCAAGGAAGAGATGAGCTCAGAGAAGCTGCTGCAAAGAGGTACCTAGTCACCCCTCCAGCCTAGCATAAAGTGGACTTTTGAGACACAACAATAAGCATCACTGAAAATTTATAGTGCACACAGTACTTACTGGACCAGTAATAGCTGGGTTCTGCAATCTGGGATCTTCCCACTGGGTAATTTTATTATCTGGAAATAAAAGAGGATACTGTACCATTAATTCTCTTCTATCACTCTGAAATCATCTTTTTTTTTTAAACAAAATTACATCTGCCCCTCACCTTCCTACAATGCCCACAACTTAGTATTTCAGGGTTAGGAAAGATGGCATACACCCCTCATCCATTATCACCCCATCACACTGTTTAGTTGGAAATGCTCACTCAAAAATGCAAAACTACTGTATAGTCCAGTATATTCACACTGCTATATTCACACGCCCACAGTGTCGATATTTAATTGGTAGATCCTTTTTCTTCAGGGATTTTTAACTTGAGCCTGATATGCATTCAACTTTGATGAAGCATACAAAAGTTTCAGGCCTAAAGGTTAAAAGAACAAAAACCAAACAAAAAACCAAAACAAAAGACATTTTTAAAAATACCTAAGTTTTGCAATTTCAAACTTCCCTCTGCCCTTGTACAACTTTAAATCATTTCCAATCAAAATGAAAAAATCCTGACCATCATGTGGACGTTAAGCCATCCAATGATGGAATTCTAGTTATTGTAATTTTTTTAAAGAATACAAATATTTAAATTAGGGCCTGAATTACAGTTGGGATATAAATAGGCTCCACTGGACAAAGAGATCCTAATCCCCGTCTTTACTAACAAATCTACTATATACATTTTTGCCTTTCCATATAGGCAACAAGAGGCACATTTTGTTTTGACCTAAGAGATTCTTGCAAATGATACAATGGTAGCTCAATGACGTTTTTAATTGCATGTTTTCAGAACACTGGTAGGGCAGTGGTTATACACAGTATTACACTGATACTTTTCCCCCAACTCCAGACAGCATGTCCTAATAAAATTCTAAACATAATAGAACCACAACAGGAAGATGGTATCACAACAGTAAGATAATGCTCCAAAAACCAAATAGGTGATATTTTTCATGGTAAAGCCTTAGTTAGCCATTTATTTCATTGAAAGGGCAATAATACCCGCTGCATTATTATAAGTGCAGCTATGCACATATTTGCATGGTAAAACAGTGGTCAAGGTTTTGGAGATTTTGGGGGGAGGGGAGGGGCAGGGGTTAATGAAGTCTACAAATTGCTAGCTTGGTAATAAATATATTTGCCAAGTTTTCCATAAGATTATTGTAGGTTAACATTTTATGTTGAAATAAGAGAATTTTCTGTTCATTTACAGCTGAAACAGACATTTCTGTTTTTAACATCTGGATTTAATTGTAAAATGACCCCAAATAAATTGGTTTGCCAAGAACTGATATTAAAAAAAAAAAAAAAAAAGTCACTGAAGAAAATTTAAGGAGTAAGAAAGATACAAACTTCCTGCAGCCTTCTTTTGGGCACGTGAACACATGAGCTTTAATGTGCATTAGCCTATTTTAAAGCGTATTAGTGCATCACAAAAAAACCCATGTGCTTTCACTAACGTGCATTAAAATACTCTAACACATCTTTTTCTAGTACCTCACAAAAGAGGTATTAAAATTAATGCAAATTAGAAAAAGCACATTAATGAACGTGTAGATGCACCCATATGTTAATCATTCAAAATTAAGTCACTGGTTTTGGGTTGCTCCTTATATACATGAAGTATATTGGTGCTTATGGGACTTGCAATGACAGCTCTGGGGATTGAATAGTCTCCAGAGAAGAGGGGCAGTAGCAGTGCAAGCCTCCTCACTTTGCCCCACCTATCTGGCTTCAATCTGTTTTGGAATGTTCTTTTCATACTTAACCTCCCTTCTGAGCCTACCAACCAAGGGCATGAATCAGAATTTGTCCAACTATTTGAGTTGGTCTAATAAAAGAGGTCGGATTTACCCAAAGAACCTTGTCTGCTTTGCTTTTCTTACACACTTTACTTGTTTTCATGTTGCTGATGTTCCAATGATATACATTACCATAATCTTTTATATGGAAATGCTTTAGAAAATGTAATGCTTTAAAAACTGCCCATTTTAGAAGGCAAAGATATGATGACAAGATTAGTACACTGTTAATGCGTTCCTGGGTCAACATAGTCATAATCAGGTACCCTTCCCAGAATATGATTAGCTTCATGTCTAGGTTTCTTTGACTTACTTGTGACTTAAACAATTTCCAATAGCTTAAAAGGGAGGCTAATATTACCATATTCCTGCCTTACTTCACTCTTATATGGCATGAATGTCATCATGTTTCCTTACCAATACTGTGAAGACAGACACTAATATTTGCATTGTGGAAGGCAAGTCACTGAACATTCTGTACTGTCATTTGCTTAATCCTAAACACAATGTTATCACAATGAAACTGGAACAAGTCCACTGTGATACCATTAGTTTCACCTTTGATGCTGGTCTAGTGGTAACAAAAGGTGTAATTTGAGAACAATGGTATTTACTAGAAACAGATATCACTATCAAACATGCTTCTTGCAAAGCTTGACATCCACAAAACTAAAACAATGCATCTCAGGAAGAGGGAATTAGAGAAGAAATGTCAAATAAAATGTAAAATGTTTGACAGTCATTACTAATTCACTGGGGAATTTTGACTTGTATGTAAGTTTAAAATTTCCTTTGCATTTCAAAACTACAACACATGCTGAAACAACTAAGGGACCTGATGATTTTAACTCTCAAAGGACAGGTAGTTACAGCAAGTGTAAAGGTGTTTCACATCAAGCTGTTCCCTTCTTTGACTCCTAAAAGGAGTACAGAAAAAAACTGCCAATGTTTGTAGGCACTTGTTGGTTAATTAAGTTAATTACTAAAGAAATAAAGACTAAAAATAATTCATAGCAATATATGAAACAGATTAAGCTAGTTTCTCTGAAAAGAATGCATTATTTCCATTCCTTATTGAAAAACTATTCATGCAGTTTCAAAATTCATAACCTACTTTACAGGCAGTATTTTTAAACCAAGGTAATATGCAACTATGGATAAGTGCAGCAGTTAATACTACTGAGAGAAAATGGAAACCATAATCCTGTCAGGTAGATATAATGTTTTAAGATTTTAATTTTACAGGTCTTGTGTGGCTTCTCTCTCCACTCTCAATTTTGTTTCAAGACCTCTATATTTTGTGAAGATTATGCCATTAATCATAGAAACCTCAGGAAAAAACCAAGCTAAAGGTTAAAAAGACTTCTGTTAGACTACAACTATATTTTAAAAGAAAAACCAACAGAAAAAAAAAAATCACATGTTTGTTTGGAGATGCTGTAATAAGACAAATCTACAATGAAACATCATTTACATTGGAACTTCAGTACAAGAACTGGCTAGATATTAATGGATTGGGTGCAATATAACATGCTACAAATAGAAAATAAGGTCAGAATTGGCATTTCCACAAGACCTTTTTAAGGAAGTGGGAGGCAAGAGTGCTTAGGGTCATTTCTTCCACTGCCTATATTTGGACTTGTGGTTATATCCTCTTTTTTCTCATCTTATTTTCTATTCCTAGTGTGTATTTTAATTTATTTAATAAAGTGCAAATAAAGCCATGGGATCATCAACGACGACAACAACAACGAATCCAAAATATCAACAAAAACAAAGAAATATCACAAATAAAAAATGTTAATGCTTCACAAGATCAGAGAGGGACAAAGCTTGATGAGCCAATTAAAAGCAAGCTTTTGGTGAATATACAGTACCGTATGAGGGCACTAAGTCTCTGGTATCAATGTCTCCACATATCAACACCTGGCTTCCTAAATGAAGAGTAAAATTATAAAGCTTTCACTTCAATATTTATTACCTCCCTTTGTCTGCTTGTTGTAGTACCTGGGTGCTTACTTACTATGGTCTATATAAAACGTTCTTCCATCCAAATGTATTCTTTCCTCCCAACCAGGCTGGAATGAGAGAGAGAGAGAGAGAGAGAGAGAGAGAGAGAGAAAATGTGAACTAGAGCAATACTACTGTAGCAAGTAAACTATTGCATTACTATGAGTCAGGCACATTTGCCTATATCTACTTATGATATTTATTTGGGTTCATTTTGCAGAACAATCAAGGAACCAAGTTTCCAAGGTGGACTGGCTGTTCATTTGGACAACAAGCACATCAAGTTATGACAGCAAATGTTAACAGAATTTTTGGAAAGGATATGAAACCTGCTTCAAAGCTTACACCAAACACTAAATTTATTGGGTTTGGAGGAGAATTTCATAAAGAGTTAATTATCTCAAATCTGTATAACATTGGGGTTTTCTGGTTTTTACATTTTCCGCAGATACCGGTCATCATGAGACACAAGATCCTGAACCAGGAGGTGCAATTTGTCAGATTCAGTGCAGTAATATCTACTTCTTGACCTCCCATCTTTAAAATGATTACATTAGATGGTAAAGAAGGATAGAAGACAAAAGACTTCTTAGTACCCTGCACACTATTTACTTTTTGTCACTGACTCTGGTTATATATTCTACATCATGTTCAGCCTCATTGACAACACAGAAGTTAAACTGTTTTAATTTCAATCGGTTTTAAACACGTTTAGTAAAGTATGTGCAAAAGCCTGTACAGATACTCTTGCTGCAGTTTTAAAATGGCTAATTTCACCTCTGTTTAAAACATGTTGATTATTTAAATATACTCAGTGACATAAGACAGGCTTGCACTGGTTTAAGGGTTTTAAAACAGTTTAAATCAAACTATCAATTATATCAGAGTAACTGTAATGAAAACATCCCTCTGTGGACATTGCTGCATGTCCACTTTATCTGAAATATACTACTGTAAAACACCCTCTTTATTGCTATTTTTAACTGCTCTAACATCGTGTTGTAACCTGCTAGCACATAATTACAAAGATGTCAAATCAGGCCTACATTAGGAACAAGAGAGACAAAAGTTATGGTGCCTAACAAGTTATATAACTTAATTAAAACAAAAAATCTTTTTTCCTTCATCTAAACAGAGACAGGTAACCATGCTGGTCTGAAGTCAGGCAGGCAAAAGACAGGGCAGGGTGGCACATGACCAGTTCAATAAGGCATAAGCTTTTGTAGGCAACAGCATCTTTAGAAGTAGGTTATCACTAATACCAATTAGTCTCTCAGGTTCCATCCTCTGCCTAACATAACCAGGGGTAGTTAAACTTCCTCCCACTATCTTAGATGTTGATTGTGCTACAGGCAACCAATAGCCTTTCTGTATTTAGGTGTCCAGTATTAGTGCCATTTCATCTGAGCTTGTTACCAGCAGCAGGAAATAGTTACAAAAGATTCTCTAGTGACAAAGCTAATGAGTGTTATTGTTATCAGGCATCAATAATCAAAAGCAGTCAAGAAATCCAAATTTTCCCACTATCAGTTTTTGTCTTTAAGAATAAAGCCTTTTATGAACTCAGAAAGGCTATGTAATGTATTCTGACTCTGATGCAAATCAACAGTACATTTGGATTAAAAAATAATGCAAACGTCTCTCAGGATTAAAGCGGTAACGTTTTAGGCAGAATGCAAAACTATCATTTAAAATCTAAATTAAACCGAAATGGTACACCCCTGCCTTATGCTCTAAGAGATTGGGGGGGGGGGGGGAAGGTAAGTTAGATTTTTTGAATGCCAAGAAAATGACAGAGGCAAAGACATTGTTACCTTAGCAATTGTTCCTGGATTACACAGGCCTTCCCTTTCACTCCAGTGATTCAAGCTTATATAATGTTTTTGTTTTCATAGCAACGTGTAATCATCCAAAGTCATGAAGCCAGTAATAAAGACACAGTTAAAGCTTCTGCAGTGCTTGAACTTTTAGCTAAAGAGGTATATGCTGAAGCAAAGCTAACAAATGATCAGCTGCTTCAGAAACATGATTAGCAGGTTCCAGGAAGCATATTCCTATTACACTAGTCAAATTGTGAAGAAGCTCTTTTGAGTATAATACACACACATGACTTGTCTGAGATGGCAAAGCACAGATTCATACTCTATTGGGAAACAGACAAATCCAGTCTCAAGAGGTCTGAGTGCATATTACGAGACATGTACATTTGACACTTACAGGAAGAGGGCCCAAATCATTAGGGTTCAAAGAAGCTTTTGATCTCAAATGTACTGGAAATTTCAGTCGTGGATCTTCCTGTAAGATAAACATGACACGATAAACCCTTAACTCATAACAAAGATGCTCAGTTTAGTGCTTACTTTTAATTTTCATGATTTTAAAATAACAGAAATGAAAATAATTTTCATGAGGCAAAATAATGATGATTGTAAGTGATTGGAAATCATTCATTAAGGCCAGGTACAGACACTACACTTTTACCAATATAAGTGATTGGAAACTGGTCTATACCCATAACAGAACAGCAGTTCAACACACAGACTGGTTTCACAATAGTAGAACCTGGTCTAAGATTTGCACCCCCAAAAGGGCAAATGTGTGTTTTGTTCATATTAGAATATCATTTTGTAAGGCTTTCAAACCCACGTGAACACCTTATGTTAATAAAGATGCTCTTATCTGGTTGCATTAAGTGACATATATTGTATAACAGTACCAAATATGGATGCTGTCCCCTTTTGTTAGTCAATATTCAAATCAGTAAGACATTTATGGCAGAACAAGCTGCTTTACAAATATTGCCAAAGTGCAAGCTTGCAGGCAGCTATGAAAATCAAACACAATAAACCAAACATCTTGTCGAATAACAATTCACAATATGTTTGGGGTTTTATTCCTTCTGTCCATTTGTCATTATTGTTCATTCCTAATTTTTTGGCACACTGCTACGTAGTCTGATGACATCCTTCTTTTCCCTTGCTGTTATGCATAGTGATCAATCAATTCCCCTCTTGCAAAATTAATCTGGGTAGGAGTTTTACCCTGCAGAATTTACTTCTGAAAACAAGTCAGACTTCATATGATGCACCCAACTGGACTTAGGTTTCTAACAATTATTGAACACAAAGCTAATCAAGCTCAAGTACATTCCTCTCTCAAAACATTGTGGCTTGGCCAACTAAATTCAGCATGATATGTGAGCATCTTTTGGGAGGAGAGGACATTATGGACTAGATTGTGCCATATTATTTGCAAACTGCTACATATTTGCAAGCTATAATCAGAGGTGGGGATTGAAAGTATATTTTGGCTTCAATATCACTTCATCAGAGTAGTTTGTTATAGTTGCCTTATTCCATAGCTATCCTCTATTATTTTAAAATCAGGGAAGAGCAAGAAGACTCTCTTTAAAGGGCTTGTTTTGCCAGATAAAATAAAACGTTAACTCCCCTGTTTGCGCCTTAATGGTGAAACCAGCTCAAAGGTCTTGGTTTCAGATCTACACCACCAATTTGACACTATTTCCTTAATATGAAAGCATGAGAACTTGTTGTATTTGCTACCAATACAAGTCTTGTAACCAACAAATGTCACTACACGATTTAGCCATTTAAGCCCGGGAAGAACTGAAAAAGCAGTTTGGCCATGTTAAGATTTTTTTTTCTTTTTTCAGAACGATATACAAGAGAAATGTGGATATTTGTAGCAGAACAACATATTCTGAGTGCTGAAGTAAAATTTATGTTTTCCCAATGACTTTTTTACTGGCAGAGAGAGGAATAATGATGCAAGAACTCATCTTCTCTAGGGATGCCATTTCCTGGATGTCAGGTTAAAAAAAAAAAAAAAGAAAAAGATGGTTGGCAGCAGGGCCTCAAGTCTTTGGAATGGACTCTCTCCATGGTCTGAGGCAGCTGGAATTTACTGTCCATCAGAGATGCCCAGAAAGTCTCATATTTTAAATCACATGAGCTTTTAGGGAGAACGACATTATTGCCAGACGATGGTGGACTATTTTGTTCTAATCTCAGTTTATTTAGTTGTTGCGTTGTTGGAGAGGGGAGGAGTTCTCCAGCTTTAATCCACCATATTTTAAAATAACTATTCAGCGGACAACAGTAAAATGCATCTCTCTTTGGCTCTTGCAGATTTAAAGAAACAAATCAGCCGGCCAGAAGAAAGTGATCTCTTTTTCATTATTTTGGATGGAGGAAGAAACAGATAAAGATGAGCTTCTTACATTCTTTTTAATATATACACATTAAGTTTATGGTGCACTGTGGTAAACTAATGTAAAGAAATCCTAGGAGAAATAAATCCAGATACAAAATTTTTTGGATTTACCTGGATTTACCCACATACACAGCTATTTGGACTGCTGCAAGATCAAACCTAACAGCCATGGTTGGAGGCCCTGAATGTGTGTGGTGATTATTTGGCATCAGCATGACATATAACAAATGAAAGTGCATGCTATTTACAATTAAATCCAACCAGCAACAATTATATCGCAGTGATGATGTGGAAAAGCTGGAATATTCAATTTCTAAGCTAGCTCAAATTACTAAAATCAATAGCTTGTTTTGGCAAGGCACAATGACTCCATATGCTAATCCATCCATTTTTTTTCTTTTAAAAACGTTCACCCTCTATTGCTAGAGTTCTAAATTCAATTTGGAGATTTGAAATAACAATAATACAAGTATAAGTTTTAAACTGCATATTCATATGTAAATGATAGAGTCAAGCTAGTTAAAACTATAAAAATTAGCAGCCTCAGCTCAGAAGGCTACAAATTCAAGTTGGCACTGCATGTAAACTCAAAACGTTCTACTAAAATTTGAATGCCTGCCTAGATTTAAGCCTTATCTGAATTTAACGAAGAAAATTCTATTAATTTTTTTTTTAAATGCCAAAATAAAATGTAATTGTTCAACAGCCTATTATAAATATGCAATCATGACATTTTAAAGTTACTTACTAAACCTTCAATATATTGTAGGCCAACAAACAAGCAGACAATTTGCATAATCGATACCATTAACTCATTAATTGTGCTGACATATGACAAACTGGGTTTTTTTTTTTCAGATACTTTGTTATTCAATAGACTGGCACCAGGTCAAACCTGTCTTTCACACCCAATATGCATCTTGACTATTTACTATATTTACTCAATGTAAGAACCCTGATTATAAGACAACTCCCCAGTAATTAAATGCTATATATAGAAAATGCATTAATTTGATATCATTTGCCAGGAATAGAATGTAATTATTGGAGGTTTACCTCAAATTTGTCCTTCTCACGCTGCTATGGCAAGGAAAATAAAATCTGTGGGGTTAGGTAGCCCCTTTGCTTTCTGCTACCCCTTAGCTTTTTCCCCTGGCAGCCTCTTCCCCACTATCCTTACTGTCAGATCCTGCTCTCCCTAAGCACATGGAAGTGAGGAGCAAATTAAAAAAAAAACCAAAAGCTTGAAAGAAACACAGCAGTAGCAATTTCGTTATAGTACCCAGAATTGATGCATGTTACCTTTTTTTTTTTTTTTTTAAACTGCTGCAAGTTTTAGCACAGGTACTCCATAAAAATACCTTTAAGTAGCATTTTGGCACCTACTTACATAGAGTACAAACTTTGCATGATATTAGTGCAAAACCAACAGGCTCATGATTTACCATATAGTCACTATATGGTAAATCATGAGCCTTTTGGCTTTGGAACTATATTATAGTTCATTGGGCTGGGCCTCCAGAGAGTCAACTGCATTTCAAACCATGGTGATCCTACAGCTCAGCAGCGCTCAGTATGTGTGCGCTCTCCAGATACCCAACCCCACACACAACAAACGAGCCATGTACTAATTAGCCCCCACTCATGACTGGAACTGGGTGTTCTTGTCATGAGTCCTGGGATCCTCTAAAAATTATATGTAGATGAGGCACAGGGCAACTTGATTCTGGCTCTACCTCATGGAGGGCAGGGCCACACTAATCATATGCACCAGGCTGAGAGAGGATGACAGATGGATTCTGTGTAAACTGTTTGGAGCCCCATTTTGTGATGTTAGCCACACATTTAAAACCGATGAAGAAAAAGGAATAATTGGAAATGGGAAAGAAAGGTGCAGCTCAGCTGAGAGCGTGAAGAATTGTAATGTAGGTAATGTAGTGGCTCACCATGACTTGAGAAAGTCAGTGTTGAGGGGGACTGCACTCAGTGGATGCAACTAATATACCTTACTCAGATGGGCTGCACTAACATATCCTTGTGGTAGGTTCCTATCAGCAAGTTTACCCAATATGGGCAATGTACTTTATAGTCGGAGTCAGTGAGAGCTGCATTTAATCAGCTTCACAGTTGGTTTCCATTATTGAGCACATGCTGCTTTTAGTAGCAATTCAAAGACAGACAATGTATTTAATACAGTCTCCTTGTATGCAAATGTAAAGATGAGGGACTTTTTTTTTCATGCTAATTACGAGGAAAAACCTTGTTTTGTATTTGAGTAAATACAGTAGTTTTCTCCAAAAAATCAGTTGTATTATGAGGGTAGCTATCACTTAAGCATCCTTTGTCATCAAAGTGCTTAAATGTGTGCCTAAGTTTAAGCATGGGCTTGAGTGTTAGTGAAGCCAATGGAATTATGCATATGCTTCAACAGTTTGATGAACTGGGTGTAAACACCAATGAATGCGCCACTGTATAAGACATGTTGGTCCATATAAAAGAAACTACTCTTCTATACTCATTATGGAGATTTTCAAAAGCACTAATAGGATTTAGATGACCAACTCCCACCAAAAGTTTTTCAGGGGCATTTGGGCCTTTGAAGAATTCTCTCTTTCTATGATTATATTTAGGCTAACAGCTTCCTACAGTTCTGATCTCAAAGCTAAAATTCTGGAATGCACAAGCACCAGCAACTTAATCCAGTTCTTTCTCAAGGCTGCACCCAAGCTGAATTACGCCACACACAACTATGAGGCAAAATTTTCATGGTCAAGCAGCAAGAAAAAGAAGCAGCTTGCCACACTTTAGTAATTTTTTTATTATTTGGGTTACCCTTTTAATATCATGGACAATTGGAAAAAAACAAAAGAAAAAGAAAAATGCATGTCACTGCTACAAGACAGATAACATAATAGAAACAATAATGGGAGAAAATATTTCTATAATGGGAAAGAAGTGAAAAGGGCAGTGAAATACAATAAAACTTGAGACAGCCTCCAGTTTAAACAATGGACCCAAACCACATTAGACTTGTGCACCTCTGAAATATAAACTCAGATTCAAATTATGCAAATGGAGCCAACTATTCAAACTCCGGAGTGTTCAAAATGTCCTGGTATCTACGGATGGAAACTAAATATAATATTATTATTTGTTCAAAATAATAGCCATCTAAACTGATCATCAAGTATATAGTGTATAAAAGGCAAGAAGTTGAGATGTATAAATCTACTGCAAATGTACTTTCTCTGGCGAAGTGTACAGGCATAAGACTGCTTTCTAATAGTAGGAATTACAAAACCACAGCTTCCTTGGGACATGAGCTTTCTAGGTGTATTATCACTATTCATCTGTGTGTTACTACTGCACAAGTTCAAGGATGCATTCTCCTAGTTGCTCTACAAACACATGATGCAATTCTCCTTTAATTAAAGACAAGGCATGACAAAAAAATTCAACAATAAAAAGTAGGTGATGCAGGAAGGAAGAGAAAGACAACATTCAGAAGACACTAAGAGACTTAAATTCAGGAGCTAGAATTCATCTTACCCAGGTAGTGGTTTTAGTATTGTGATCAATGAAGAAGGGCCTGCCATTTGGAGCTATTCGCATCTCCCAGCCAGGGGGCAAGAAGCTCTGTGTCACTTTGTGTTGTGGTTTAGGAGAATTATAAGGTGAGGGCTGGGGAGACTGAGGATTCGAAAGGGTATCCTTTACAGCTCGGCGTGCAGGAGAGTCCTTGGAGAGTCCCTGTGGAGAACAACAGGAAGATTCCACATATATCATTTATATCATATTGTGAATGATACTTGATATCATAACAGTTGAATAACAGTTATTCAGCAGGGATATGAGCTATATAAACAAGGTAAGGGTTGATGATAAATTCTATCCTTATCATTCATTTACGTTTAAATTTGCTCTTCCTTTCTACATATTACACTTTGGAAAGCTGTAGTGTTCTATCACTTTCCTCAGCCAGTTACATAGCTATGGAATCTAAAATCTTTCTATACTGCCTCCTCATAAAGATAGAAATTAAATCTTATAGAGAAAAAGATCAAAATTCAGGCAATGCTTCACTATATATATCACACTATCTAATTAGAAACAAGAGGTGAATAGAAAGCAGTGTTAGATGAACAGATTATTCCTCTATTCCAATCCATATCAGTTTTCAGAAAATTCATATTTTAAATAATCATCTTTAATCTTCTTTTGCACTTTATTATCTTGGTTATCTCCTACTAAAAAAGTTGCTTCCAACTGCCTGGTATAATTTGTGCTACTTTTTTTTTACTAACCAGAAGACTACTATATATCTATACACACTTATTTAGAAAATTAGTATAGCTGATTTGTATAGAATAATTTAGTATTAATATATTAAGATACTTAATTGTAAACGTTTTTGATAGGAGAACAGGATGTCTTATTCTTTACATAACCAGATTTTTATTTATTTTTTATTTGTTCCAAGCTGAATTCAAATAGAAATTAGAATTCACTTAAAAGTACACAAAAATGAACTTTATTTTTTTTGGTAAATTAAATGAATACATGGAAAGTATGTATGAATGGAAAGTACTCAAAAGAATACATGGAAAGTTAATTAGTAAAATATGTTTTACATTGATAACTGACTCATTAAATGATTGCAGTCAGTCACCCAAGCTGATATTTCTTCCCTATTTCATCCTTCCAAGATTTTAGAACCAGCAGGTCTCGCTCTCTGACACTTATGCCTTTTTAATGGATTAAAAGAGGAAAAAAACAACCTTCCCCTTTTTTCAACTCCCAACTGGCTTCTCAACTTTGACTGTATTAGCCACCAAACAGAACTAGCTAAAATGGAGAGAACGGTTTCTCTGCACCTGCCGAAGTGGCTTCTACTGTCAAAAATTAATAAAGCACTTCAGCAAACGCAAGTCCAGGTGCTTAGCCAATGACTGACAGTAACTCAGTAGTTGGTTTAAAATGTTGGCAACAAATATTCTGCTTGTTATATTCATTTAAACAATTCAAAATTGTTTGATGTATGTTGCTAGATTACAGTAGGTTAGGGCCTTACCATTGGGTATACATTTTGATTTCAAAGTTTTTTTTTTTTTTAAATAAACCTGGGTAAAATTAAGTAACATTCTTTTCTGATATTTAAAAAATATCTATCTATCTATCTATCTATCTATCTATCTATCTCCAACATAAAGGCTTAGTCTTCACTGATTGTTGCTTCATTGAATGACACAGATCACATTTTGGTCCCTGCTGCCAGAACAAAACTAATGACTACCTAATAGAAAATACCCAGGCAGCTCAGTTTCAGCAGGTTGCCTCCCACAACACTATTTTCCATCATAGTGTTGAAGTTCTCTCCTGGGCAGTGAGAGATGTGATTTTCAAGCCCTTTATACTAAGAAGGTATTAAGCCCAGGTTTTCCGTTCCTTTGTTGAATGCTGTAACAGCTGCACTATTCAGCAAAACCTGGTTACTGCCTTATTTCCCAGTATTTCATTGAACTGAGTTAAATGTGACAGCTCCCTGAGCATTCACAGGGTGCATTTACGCATTCAATTAATATGCAGCAAGAATCTCTGGTGTATATTGCACTTCAGTTTATTGCTTTTGGGTGTCACGTTTGAACGTGTGCCCAGGATCGCACTGTGTTAAGTCAGGTTAGAGTAGCCCCAGCTGGCACAGGACTTGAGGGGGGCACTGCTCCGACCCAGAAAAATGTGCTGCAGGGGCACTGGCTAGGGCATGAGAGTGCTTCAGTGTGGGGCTAGCCAGCAGGCAGCCCCTACACTGAAGCACCCTTGTGCCCCAGCCAGCCCCGTCAACATCTACATATGCATTGTTTTAGAGCAGAAAACTCTGCCGTAGGATAGTACTTGTATTTGGAAATACTAACCTACAACCAAGTTAATTAGCTTACTCCATGCTACTAGCTCTCCACATGTAGACCCTAAGATGTTTACTGCAGAGCTAATTAGGCAACTCTATGGTAAACATCTCATGTAGACGTGCACATAAAGGAACAGGCCTCTCTGGGGAGTTTGGTACCCTGCAAGAACTAATCTAGATTATAATGGAGTGAATGTTAGATACCTAGGAAATAAAACTGGAGAAGTTCTAAGTATGCGCAGAAGATCAAGTACAGGTGAATAAGGAACTTGGAGGCACCATGTGAACGTAGGATTCAACAACATTTTGTGGCTTGTGGAGTAGGACCAAAAAATGGATTGTTCTTTAGGATTTAGGGGTATTTATTGATGTGCTTTGGAGGGGTGGGGGGGCGGAAGAGTGCTTTAATTAGAGCAGCTCTTGGAACCACTCTAATTAAAGCACCCAGAGCATCATGTATATCAGCATCCCCATGCTTAAAAATATGGCGGTGGGGGCACTTTAACTAAAGCTTGAACAAGATTTAGTTAAAGCACCCCACTGCCATTTTTCAGCACAGGGATGCTGATACACATGATGCTGGGAGCTGCTGGAGCACAGTAATTACTACGCTCCAGCAGACTCTGATGCGCTGTAATTACAGCACGATGGAGCAGACTCCCTGTGCATATATAGGTGCTCTAGGTTCCTAAATCCTGTTTAGGCACCTACAAAACTACTATGGATGGACCCCTCAGTTACTTGCACCCTGATAAAATTCTTTGAAAGTTTTCTTGAGGAATAAATAACAGCATATTGTTGTAATGGAAGATTATATTTAATGTGAGTGTATGAATATAAATAGCCAAGATACTAGATCTCGCTGCCTAAAATTACAACCTCAAATACATATGTATTCACAACTGGATGCCGGATGCTTAAATATGTATTTCAAACTTTAGTCTGTTCTCTTCAGCATCACAACACTTTAGGAATCAAAGTCACATTTTCAGAAGTGACAGTCCCACTGTCTTTAAGTGCATGTAGGCTGCAAAAACTACTCTGGAAAAATTTTTGCATCAAAGTTGACAGCTAAGTCTACATCAACAAAAAATTCCTAGAATTATCTTCAAAAGTACTAAAAGAAAATTAAAATATCCTACTGAAAGAAAAAGAATACAACCCAAAAGTTTTAAGCCAGTCTTCCTTCCAAGACTTTCCAAACTCAGTCTGCATGGCCTTTATTTACAGTTCACATCATCCACTTTTCAAAATAAATGATTCAGCTTTTGAGACTATTTCTAACTTGATGTACTAATTTTAATTTCTAATTTGACACATCTTAAAATGGAGTGACAATAATGCAAGTAGTATAGTGTGTATACACACAGAGAAATGAGCTAATGCTACCAAACAACCCTGCAGGAGAAAGGATATTTCCCATACCAAGCAATGACAGAGAGAGAGCTGAATAAGAAAGAATTAGGTAATACTATTACACAAAATAAAGGTACATGTGGAAAACACTGCTTCAGAAAAGAGCATCGTTGCAAGGCAAAACAATAGATGAGGAAAGAAGAATGGTTGGCTGCAAAACTGGAATGAATATAAAAGGTTAAAAGACAACAGAAAGAATGAGAAGTTAGTACAGAAACAATCCTTGTTAGATGAGACACGACTTCTCACCTCAAGTGGAGCAGATAAAGTTACTGTGGGTGAACTGAGGCTACGAGGCCGTCTTATCTGAGGTTCACTGAGATGGTTGTTACTGTTTGTTGCTGACCCAACTGCACCATCTTCTGCAAGCTAGTTCAGAGGCAAAAACAAGTTTAGCTAAATGTCAGAATTATCTTAATCCATAGTTAGACTGTTAAAAAAAGCTCTTGCTACTCTGTTAATTTTTTTTTTAAATAAGTATTAAACAGATTAATTTCAAAAGCCATGTTCAATGGAAGCAAAAATTAGTCTTATTAAAATAATAAAAAATGACCCAGGCTACCTATATTAAGTGCTACAGGAATAAAATCTTCCTTTGGAATTGGAATCTAAAATGTACAACTTACTTTACGCATCTGTCTCAAATTTTGACCATTGTGTCCATAACTACATTTTTATTCTGCCCTTAACAGATACTTAGCAAAAGAATTAACTTCAATTACTGTAATTCTTCACCTTCATGGTTACAGGCAATCACTTTGTTCTGAATTGTCACCACAATCTATAACTTGTTGCTGTTTAAGAGCCTTGCTCTTTCACAAGGGATGTATACCCAATATATTTAAAGCATTTTGTTGCAGTTTTTAATCAGGATAACAATCTTCATACCTGCATAATGGGCCGAGTCCAAGTTGTGGTTCGATTGTTATGATTGACATAATAAGTACGTCCCTTAGCATCTTTCCTTTCTTCCCAGCCTGAAGGTAAGCCCGGTGTTGTATGCACATAGGCCACTGATGGCTGTTTATGCAAGAAATTACCATATTGTTATTTGTGGTAACTTGAGAAAGATTAATTATCTTCAGAAATCTAAAACTTTTTTTTTTTTGATGTATGCCATTCCTAAACTCCCACACCAGGAAACTAACAGGGGTTACAAAAATGAACCGGAAACTATGCATCATGATAGAAACTGCTTTCACTTGTTATGGCTTTCCTTTGTTATTTAGTCCCTGTAGCTGCGATGGTAAGCAGCAGTCAGAGAGACCATTTGGTGGGAAGAAGAAAACAAAACAAAAAACTTATCCTGTCTTTGCTATGGAGAGACTAAATAGTCTTGGGTCAGTCACAACCTCTGCCTCATTTTCCACATATCTACCCCAAAGGCTGTTGTGTAGGTCAAGCAGTTAATCTTCAGGCAAGAGTTTGGGACAATTAAGGGAGAATATACAGAGTCACAGTTGGAAGTCCTGATTATTTTCCTTGGGACCCAAAGTTCACTTTCAGATCTGAGGGGGTTTGGGGTTTTTTGGAGAGTAAATGATCATGAAAAGAAAAAGGCAGTCCTTCCACAGAGAGACGACACTCTTCTGTCCAGTGCTATGTTAACAATCCATAGAATAGTAGGACATGAATATATAACATGTAGCAACATATAGATAATAGCAGTGTGAGAAAGACCAGTTAACAATACAACAAGGATACCACAATTTAACTCTGGAATTATACAGGAAACCAAAAATCTATACGAAGCATGTGAGTCAACAAGAACATTCACTGTTTAAGGCAATCAGGCTTTAATTCTGGAACAATATTAAAAGGGAAAAAATATATCACACTGCAAAACGTAGGGCCTCCTCATGAAAAATGCTCCTGAAAGAATATTTGCTTATATTTCTCAAATGAAGCCTCATTACATCCGAGCGCATATTGCAGTGTTCTTAACATGATGCGATTGAACCTAAATCATAGCCTTTGTTCAAACAAATCTCTGTAAATATGGAGGGGCTCTCACTTTGGATGAATCATGTCCTTTCAGACCTTCTGTAGACTGCAGTTTGGTATTTCTGCTCCACTGCTGGCTAATAAAATTGCTTATCAAGACGACAGGTTTTGAAGCCAGCCCATCTGAATCTGCCAAATTTCATAGGCTCGAAGGCATGTAATGGAAGAGTTAACATGATCAAAACAAGTTACAACTTGTCAAGCTGTCAATGTTTCATTTTTAAATTGGAGAGTATTGGGGTTTTACCACACTGCTTGTGCATACGGAATTGAAATGGCAATCTGGATGCACACTCCAGGCTGGCAGCTTTTGTGATAACACTGCATAGAGGAAGCAGGTACAAAAGGCTTGCCCTTTGCAACCTTCCATCTGGTAATTCCTAACCTTTGAATGTTTAACTCTGCAGTCTCAATGTGCTTTCAGTTTTTATGTTTGTTTGTTTTCCTCCCTATTAGACCAAGTGACATCCTAGCTTTATGGCCCTCTCGCCCCCAAATGTCACTTGGATGAGGGAATGAGAAATGCTATTCTTATTGCCAATCAGAGAAAAACAGGACAGATGCTTAGCTCGCAAAACTGATGCAAATCCAAATGAGCCTCAAGTTTAATAGGCAGCTATTCAACAGAAAATTGTCCAGAGAGGATATCTTTAATTTTTGTAGGACAATCTTCCTGGCCTCAAGTGAATCCAAAAGTAGGAGGGAAGCATAAGGAACTGCAAGGTGTCCTGCAGTATATTGTCAATAAGCTTAGATTACTACGAGACTAAAATATTGGGGTTCTCTTTATTCTGATCTCAAAATTTCTTTCATTAGCAGGTGACTGATTAAACCAAATACTTGTATCAGGACAAAAAAAAGCAAGGGCCAGACACTAACTATCTTGCCAGTTTCTGTGTTATGCTTTAGTTCATCATCTCTAACAACCATTCTAATAGAAGGGTGGCTTTGAAGCTCAGGAAAAATACACTAAGGCCCTTTCTTAAAGCAATGTGCTTCAATCCATGGTGTTCCTTTGGTAGATGACAACAGCAAACATAGCATTGTCTTATGGATATAAAATAAGCAATTCATGCTCACCATGTAATCTCAAGTGAAAATTCTGATGTTAAGGCAGTGTATCTGTGCTAGAATTTACATGATTTGGAAGGCAGGGCAGGTGGAGTGGAGAAAAAGTCAGTTTTTAAGCAGTGAGACTCGCTGTGACTGTAGCACCTAAGCTTCATGTTGTATGTAATAATGCAAGTTCTTGAGCTGGAAGTACTAGTTCTGATATCTGAGCCAGTGGAAGGATCTGTGTCAGTATCTGAGCTGCAGAGAGCAGTTGTGCCTGCATTTACACGCTCTGTTTTCTTAACAATCTGCTGCGTGAAAGAAGATTTAAGAGTCCTTTTCAGACTGTTTGGAAAAGAGAAGCTAGTGTTAATATATGTTCCTGAAAGAAGCAAGATACTATACTTCACGCACACACGCACGCACGCACACACACACACACACGTGTGCGCACACACACACACACACACACACACAGAAGAGATTAACTGTAAAGTTTTGTAAATGTCTGACAACAGGCAGTGGCTGGACATGAGAGAAAGAGGAAGCGGAGAAACACAAGCATGCTTATTATAGTCACCCTTTGCTCTAGAGAAGAGATTTCTCCAGTGCTCATTAAATCTGGTGCAGCCTGCAATGAAGCCATACTTTTAAGGCAACAACCCTGCACACAACACAAAGGGACATATGCTCCAACAACTGAAATATAATTTTTTATAAAAATCTTTTTAAACATTCTTTTCAGATGTCAAACTTAAAAGGGCAAAGAATGTAGGTGACAGCTAGTCCTCCATTGCTTGACAGAAATCAGATCAGAAGGTGTATCATTTTCACTTTAGAGCACAGTGTGTGTTAATGCACTTTCAAGCAAGCTCAGGGGGAAGATATGCAGCTGTGCTGACGAAAAGAGAAACAGAACACGTAGTCAGAGGTTTTGCTAAGAACAAAAGATCTTCTGTTGGTTCTCAATGTGCACTCTTTGCTCATTTTGTTAGAAATAGTAGTTTCTTTAAGCCAAGGAAGGATGGGATGTCGTCTTTCTTTTTGCACAGCTTCTAGAATTCTGTATTATTTTTTCCCCATCTAGACACCTCAGTATGAAGGAGTATTCTTTATACCTACACTTAAACTCATTAATAACCAATAGGCACTTAAATATGATGTTTTATAGGCAAAAGAAAGTCCCAAATTCAATACTCAATCTTGCAAGGTACTAAACACCTTTGAGACGTTGAGTGCTTTCGATTCCCATTGAGGTTAGTGGGAATTAATGACTGTTAGCATTTTGCAAGATCAAATCTCTGATATGTAAAACTGGCAAAAGAAATCACAATCTAGAAAAGTGAAGGGGGGAGATGGGTAGGTCACAACAAATGTGCAGCCCTCAGAAAAAAAGGCAGCCTTCAGAGTATGAGGGGTAAAGTACATTAACAAGAGATCATAGGCAGTTCAAAAGAAATGTTTGAAGCTGTTGACCCAAGACAGGTCCCAACCAAA